TCTTGAACTCCTAACCTCAGGTGATCTGCCCACCTTGGCCTCCCAAAGTGCTGGGATTATGGGTGTGAGCCACTGCGTCCAGCTAGGTCTTATTTTTTATTTATTTTTTTAAAGATCTGTATTGTCAATAAAAACTGGAGGCAAATTGGAACTGAGAAACATTTTCCTTTTCTTTTTTTAGGTTGCAGTGATTACAAGCAAGTCCTGTCTTCAGAAGAACTGGCTCACTCAATAAGAGACATAGCAGGAGTTTAAGGGGCATAATCTATACAGTGAGTTTGCCGATTATTCTCATTGGTGGAAAAATAATTCTCCATCATAATTACATATTGGCAAGGGTCACTACACATTTGTATGACAGTGAAACAGCAAAATGACCGACATAAACTCTTTTTTTGTTTAAGGGACCTTTACCTATTCCTCCGCGTAGACCAGGACAATTTTAGAGCACTGAGATAAAAAGCCAAATGTGGGTGAAGGGGAGAAGAAAAGAAAGCACACTGCCATGTGTGTACCTACGCAACTGTCTTGCATGCTCTGCTCATGTACCCCAAAACCTATAATCCAATAAAAAATTAAAAAAAAAAAAAAAATGAAAAACAGCAATCATGCAGTTTTTGGAACTAACTGTGCAACTAAGGGGAAGTATGTAAACAACTAATTATGTTGTGTTAAAGATTTACGGGAGCATCATGACCTGACCAAGGACAAAGACATTCTCAACCTCCTCTGACTCCTCTCGCCGACACCCAGATGTCTGTATTCCTCAGTCACCTCTTGTTTCTAACTCCTGAGCATAGTTTCCCCATATCTGCTTCCCATTAAAACCTTCCAGCCAGCCTGAAAGACTTTAGATGGATGGTACTTTAGCATGCTAGTTCTCCATCTTCTCGGTTTGCTGGCTGTCTAATTTAATCTGCTTTTCTTTCTTTCTTTCTTTCTTTCTTTCTTTCTTTCTTTCTTTCTTTCTTTCTTTCTTTCTTTCTTTCTTCCTTCCTTCCTTCCTTCCTTCCTCCTTCTTCTTCTTTCTTTCTTTCTTTCTTTCTTTCTTTCTTTCTTTCTTTCTTTCTTTCTTTCTCTCTCTCTCTCTCTCTCTCTCTCTCTCTCTCTCTCTCTCTCTCTTTCTTTCTTTCTTTCTTTCTTTCTTTTTTGAGACTTGCTCTGTTGCTCAGGCTGGAGTGCAATGGTGTGACCTTGACTCATTGCAACCTCAGCCTCCTGAGTGGCTGAGATTCCAGGTGTGTGCCACCATACCCACCTAATTTTTGTATTTTTAATAGAGATGGAGTTTCACCATATTGGTCAGGCTGGTCTCAAACACTTGAGCTCGTGATCCACCTACCTTGGCCTCTCAAAGTGCTAGGATTACAGGCGTGAGCCACTGCGCCTGCCTTAATCTGCTTTTCATCCCACAAACCCTTGTGTCTCATGTCTGGCTTTTCAGCAGCAAGCAACCAAACCTGGGTTTGGTTACTTACATTTGTATGTATCAATATTGTAAAAATCAGCACTAAACTTGTTTCCATTAGGAAGCCAGCAATGTAAAGCATATGAACTGAAGCCTTTATTTTAGGTTCCAGTGCTAAATGGAACTGCTATTCAATTTAGGAACATATAAGGCTAGCTGTCCCTCCCTCCCTCCCTTCCTCCTAACCTCTTTCCCTTTTCCTCTCCCTCCCTCGCTTCTGGTTTTCCTTCCTTTTTTTTTCACCTGCTGTCATCCTCAGTTTATCTCATGATACAGTTTTTTTCTGACTGTCATGTGTAACATCAAATGCTCAGGCAAAATGGATGATTTGGCTAGGCTAACAAAGTGTTCATTTTGCAGTATTTCCATTTTTTTTAGTGGATTTTCTTATGATTTTGAGGAAATTTTGCTGTCTCTCTACATTTGTTTTGTTCTTTGTATTGTTAGTGCTTTTTCTTTTCTTTAATTTTGTTGATTATTTAAAAATACTTTTAATTTCATTATTTTTTACCTAATAAAATTAGGACATTTTATTATTGTGTCCTACTTTTGGGATTTTTCCTTTTTTTAAATATCATCGTGAGCTCAATGTTTCATTCATCTATTGTTATTAATGAATACTTTCTATTGAAACCATTTGCCCTAATAATTTCTCTCTAAATGCTATTTTGGCTGTATCCTTAGTGTTTTGATAAGTAATGATTTTATACTGGCTGATTACATCCCCATAGCAGGCCTGTGCATGCTGTACTTGTTCCTTTTGCCTGAAGCACACTCCCCTTTCTAGACCATCTTGCTTTAGTCTGTTACTCTTATTGTCTACATGAATTTATCTGCCTGACATTTACTATATGGATACTTGCTCTTATTTGCCTGTTTTATCTCAACATCTAAACTCCTGAAGTGCAAGGGCTTTGTCTTGCTCATGGCTGTATTTCCAATGCTTAGGATAATTCCTGGCCTAGAATAGGCCAATATACATTTGTTGAATACATGTATTTGTTAAATGCATTAATATCTTTGAAGACTTTTTTTTCTTTTAATGTTTGACTTGTTAAATGTTGTTAGGTTTCTTATTTTAGTCTTCTTCAGATTGCTCTATCTAGTTATATTTCTCTGGGCTGGAATTCTCCAATTTGTTGGGGCTCGTGAGGTATCACTCACATGGTGCTGGATTTCCTCATAGATTTCTTTTCCTCATAGATAACTTTTAGTAGTTTCTTATTCCTTGGGGGCTATCTTTTGCAGATATTCTCTGATATAAATACCCTGGCTTATGGATCCCTTCTTGGTGGCTATTGTCCTAACAGATCCCAGCTGTTTTGACTTGGAATATTATGCACACTGCATGGGTAGCACACCTCCAGAAGGGCTCTGCACCCCGGACAGATCTAACTCTGGACCTGTGTGGGTGACTCTGTTTTTATGCCTGGGGCAGATGGGTGAAGATATTTTGGCTCCTCTGCATGGGGTGACAGTGTATTTTCTGTTACTGGCTTTACTCAGAGAGGCCTAATTTCCGTTTTCTGCATGTTGGATCCGAAGGCTTTGGCTGTCATCTGGGAACAGGTGTTGAAACCCTACCTTTGTTCCCAAGGCAAAGCTGCCACCTCTATTTCTTCATCCCCTTACCGTTCCTGCCAAGAGCTTAACTTCAGCTTCTTCTTAAAATGTGTTCCTATATTCAATTTCTGCTCCTTGGAAATCATTCTCACCCCCCTTTTCATGCTTAAGCTTGGCTGTATATTTTTCACTTAAAAGTATTGCCAGCTAACACTTTTTAAACTTTCCTTTTAAATTCAGGGCACATGCGCAAGTTTGTAACATAGGTAAGCTTGTGTCATGGGGGTTTGTTGCACAGATCATTTTACTACCCAGATATTAAGCCTAGTTATTTTTCCTGATCCTCTCCTCCTCCCACCCTCCACCCTCTGACCGGCCCCAGTGTTTATTTGTCCCCTCTGTGTGTCCATGTGTTCTCATCATTTAGCTGCCACTTATAAGTGGGAGCAGTATCTGGTTTCCTGTTCCTGCATTAGTTTGCTAAGGATAATGGCCTGAAGTTCCATCTGTTCCTGCAAAGGACATGATCTCATTCTTTTTTGGCCGTGTAGCATTCACAGTGTATATGTACTACATTTTCTTTCTTCAGACCATTGATGGGTATTTAGGTTGATTCCATGTATTTGCTATAGTGAATATTTCTGTAATGAACATATCCATGCACATGTCTTTATGATAGAACGATTTATATTCCTTTGAGTATATGCCCAGTAATGGGATTGGCCAGCCAACACTTAGGTATCCAAAAAGCAGGTGGCATAATCCCTACTTACTTAGGCATTTTTTTATCCTCTCTGCCGGGTATATGTATATTAGGTCTTGGATTTTTACATCTTTTTCCTGCCTATACTCTCTGATGACTTCTCTGAAAAGGACACTATGCATTCAGTTTGGATTCTGGCTTGTAATTTCTAGCTTTGAGACCAATAATCCCTTCTCCTGACCTCAGGTGGGCATTGGTCCCTGTTCCCAATTATAGGGCCTGTGCCCAAACATGGGCACATGGATTTTGCAGCCTCATCCCTGGGTCTGAGCCACTGTCTCTGTATTTTCATTTGTGTAGTGAGAAGATTTAGCTGATTGGCCTCTTTGCTCAGGCTTCAGAAAGATGTGTGGATGAGGACTTTGGAGAGACACTGGCTAATTCTGTGTTAATAGCTCTGATTCTCCTTCCTCAAATACTAATGCCTTTGTCCTAACATTACTGAAATTAGTAAAATGTTGTTATTATGAAAACTATATCCAGAGCATGTTTAGATGGAACTAGCAGGGAGTAATAAGCATGTTTGCAATCTGTTAGAATAAGCCAGGTGTCTGTCATGTTTAAAATTTGGAAAATTTTACCTACTATCTGGATTTAGTGAGATGCTTTGGCAACTCTAGATCTGAATTCTTGCATGAAGAGGTTGGCTGGAGCTGGGCAGCAGCTACCCTCTTCAGACTATACATGTCCTCCTAGTTTTACACAGTTCCCAGGAGACTCACCTTGCCTCACTCATTTACTTACCTACCTGGGCTCTTTTGGTATCTGCATTTTTAACCTTGACAGAAACTTTGGGTTTTAATATTAATGTGATTTAATTTCAGCCTGAGGAATTCCAGCAATGTTGGGTTTGCTTAAATCATTTGTAACTGAGATATGAGAACCAGATTTGCACTTTGGAAACTAGGACATAGTGTGAAAGGTGGTTTTACAAATTCTATATCAAATATCGTTATTGTCAGCGCTTGATCTGGTTTAAATATTGAGTCACTGTTGATATGTGTTACCTGGGAAGTTGAGTTTAGAACTAAAATAATGGGAAATGCTACAGTTATGACTTAAAAAGGTTGCCTTGCAGTTCTAATCTTGAGGACTTTGGGTAATGTGGAAGCAAATGAATATGAGAAATATGAGGCACTTAGAAATAGAAACAGCTAAGATAAGAAAAGTCTCCACATATGACCAGCTGAGAAGGAAAGTACTTACTTGTGGTTCTCTGCGAAATTACTGAAAAATAAGCAAACAGAAATCCATTTAATTTTTCTTAAATAGAAAACACATAGTATTATTATAATATATATATTAGTATTATATATTTTGCTGGTGTCTGTGAGTTGGGCAATGAAGGAGGCCTTCCAGACCACCCTATAGATTATTTGGTTCTAGGTTAGTTTTATCATGCAAAGCTAGATGTAAGATTAAGCAGTGACGATGTAATGATGAAGTCCAAGGTGGAGTTTCTTTAAAGGCCCTCTCCATTTACTGGACCTGAACAGCTTCGGGCATAGTGTTAGGAAAAGACCACTGGATCTTTGCACTACAATGTTTGAAAGAACACTGACGGTCTCTCTGCATTCGTCATTTCGAATTTCACCTCTCTCTCTCTTTCTCCGCCTCTCTCTCCCTTTCTCTGCCTCTCTCTCCACCCCCTCCAAATTCTGCCTACCTGTTATTTCATAATATTGTTCAGTTTATTGTTGATGAATGCTAGCTTAGACCCTCTTTTAATTAGTATTAAAAAAAACTGTAGGGCAAGCAGGGTAATAAGGAAATAAGAGAAGAATGAGAAATTCAAATCACTTGGACAGAAGTGAAATGAAGGGGACCACAGAGAACCAAAGTAGAAAAAGAGATGGAATACTTACTTATGGGTGCCATGCATGGACCTAAAAACCAAATTAGAGATCAGTGAAGATTTCTTCGAAAAAAATAAGGTTCCCTCTAAGGAGGTACATTTGTGTAGGGGGAGAATCTTGGACACAGCTCTGGGTCCAAATTATGATTCTATGATTATGTATTCTTGAGTAACTATTTGGCTCAGTTCCTTATCTCTTACAGAGGGGTTAGTGGAGTTATTCTAAGGATTAAATGAGATAATGTAATTAAAGTACCCATATAGTTCTATAGGGGGCACAAAGTAAATATATGTTTGAAATTATGTAAATATAACTTCCTTCTCAGGGAGAAGCCAGATGAGCAGAAGGCAGAGGAAACTGGAAGCTCTGAGTCAGGTAGCTGCACACAGAGTTGGAAATGAGCAGGGTGGGGACAGGTCTCTAAGCCTTGCAGGAAGCAATAAGAACAACAGAAAGCAGTAGAAAAAGAAATTGAACTTACCACGGGGTGTTGGAGGTGGACCAGCTGAAAAACAGAGAGGTATCTTAGCAACTGTTTTTTTCTCCCATGATATTTTCCTTTCTATGTAGAGAGTTTCTTCTTGGTAGGTCTTTATAACAATAGGGAAAACGTTCCCTTTGGTGTTCATTTACTTTTAATATGAATCAGCAGAATGTGAACTTTAAAAAAATCATTAATGACTTCATGGAATATTGATGATGGGAAGTTAAGTGGTTAAAGTAGCATGCACCCCAAGCCTGGAAATCACCCTTTCCCTGGTACTGCTAAGATTTCACTGCCTTCATGCCTTGCAGGGATTCTTTCTTCTGCTTAGTACATATAGAAGGCTGCAGGAAAGGGAGATGGTTTATCTCTTCCCTTTTGCAGTGAGGAAAGAGAAAGTCCTTTGAAAGAAGACTAGAGAACTCAGGTTAGACTAGACCCTGAATAGTGTTTCCTGGTAGGTTTGTCTCAATAAACCGATAAAACTTCAGTATTTAAATTTTATTGTCTTTTTTTCCTTTTGTATTTATTATTAAAATTTTTCTTCTCTCATTTCCTCCTTTTGTCTCCATTATCTTTGAGTAGGCCCTTTAGAAACTACAAAGCACTTCAGAACTGGAAAGCTGCCCTTATTATTCTTTCTCTGCTACTTTAGAAAATTCTTCTATATTGTTATAGAGGCCATTATGACTATTTCTGGGGAAATTTTCTTACTCTTTTTCTTTTAAAAATGATAGCTGAGAATTATCAGTAGGTTGAAACCAGGAAGCATAAAAACATGCCTGAAACAACTGCTCTTATGGCAGTAGACAGATTTAGGACACTTGAGAAAAGGAACAGGACACTGTAGAAGATCAAGGAACCTGGGGGGAGAAGGATAAATAAGGTACCTACCACTGGGTCCAGTATATTTACTAAAAATAGAAACAAACAAGAAAACACACACACACATACACACACACATTTTTTTTTTTTCTAAGACAGTCTCTCTCTGTCACCTAGGCTGGAGGACAGTGTCGTGATCTCGGCTCACTGCAACCTCTACCTTCTGGGTTCAAGTGATTCTCCTGCCTTAGCCTCCTGAGTAGCTGGGATTATAGGTGCCTGCCACCGTGCCTGGCTATTTTTTGTATTTTTAGTAGGGACGGGGTTTCAGCATGTTGGCCAGGCTGGTCTCGAACTCCTGACCTCAGGTGATCTGCCTGCTTTGGCCTCCCAAAGTGCTGGGATTACAGGTGTGGGCCACTGCGCCTGGCTAAAAAACACCTCTATTAGTGATGTTTTCCAAAGGCAAGCAGTGAAAATGATTTTCTCAGGAACTGCTAAATCTCAATATTCAGGATTAAATATTTTTTATTGCACTGCTGTACTGTAGCCTCTCCATAAGAACCAGATCTTCTTCTAGGAGATTATTAACCCTGTTTTAGTTACCATAACCACTTCATTCTTGCTTTTCATAATAGGTGTTGGAGGTGAGATTGTTAATTGTATTCCTTTCCCCATATTCCCCCAGTCTTTTTTCCCTCATGTCACTCTTGTTTCATTCTCTCAGCCATCTTTCTTTTATGTTCTTGTTAATTTCTTATATTCTTTTCTAGACTCTATTACATCTTTGCCTTGGGAAGTTATTCTAATGATTATTGACAAGCCACTATAATCATTATTAAAACAATGCCTATTATAAATTCCATTTTCTAAAATATAATTGGTTGCCCAGAGAGATGATTAGTGTTAATCCAAACTGCACCATTTTGTAAGCCCCGAGCTATTTTGAGGACCTTGGTCAAAGTTAAACATTCCACGGGGGTTTGGGCTGTGAGAAACATTCCACCTAACCACCTGCCCCCAAGGTGGACAAAGGCCCAACTAAAGAAATATCTTTTAGACTAGGAGAAATACCTAATGTAGATGATGGGGTGATGGATGCAGAAGACCACTATGGCATGTGTATACCTACGTGACAAACCTGCATGTTCTGCCCATGTACCCCAGAACTTAAAGTATAATAATAGAAATTAAAAAAATAAAAATTGAACATCCCTATCATACTCTGCTGGGAGAAAGTTCAAGGAACACCGTGTTCTGCCAGAATAAGGGCCGGAACCACCTCATCGTGGGGACATCTTATCAGTATCCTGCCGGGCAGCAAGCTATACTGCCCAGACCCCGCCCCCATACTTGTAAGTACCCCCAGCTGTAAGCAGTGGTGGGCACTGGCATTAGGCTGGTTCCCCAGTTCTCAAGGTCTTAGGCTGGACATAAAGCCTGCTTTTGCTGTAGAGCCACCACTCTCTCTGTGTCCTTCTTTAACCTTGGCTTCCCTCTAAAACCTAACATTTAGGATACTGGGAATGAAATCTGAGAAATATGATTTTCAGTTTCTTTAGCTTAGATACTTAAAGAGTTGGAGCCCGTCTTCTTCAGACATAGTAAGAAGCAACAGAGATAAGTTGATATATACAGGCAACTTACCAATAGGTCCTGGAGTTTGCACTAAAAAGAAATTCAAATTGGCGTATTAGTATGGTTATTTGACTGGAGAGTATATTTTTCACTAATTTTATCCTAGAAATGAGGCTTTGAGTGGTAGAGCAGGGGAGAGGAAGTGATATCATTATGAGATCATTAGAGAGAATTGATCCAACAATGTTAACTATAGAAAAAAGGAAAAAGGATATTTAGTATTTACTGCAATATTTCAGCCTAAGGTGAAGGTTTTTATAGGATCCTTGCGAACCTAAGAGATACAAGGAAAAGGTGAAACTTTGTTATTAGGTATTAATATTACTTATAGTAGGGAAAGATGAAACCCTTCCTGTCAGAAAGAGTAGAAGATATTTCTTTCCAAGGGACGGTTCTTTCACTAATATCTTTATTTCTGATCAACTAATATGTTCCAGAGGTAGACATTAGAATAGGAGGTAAGAATCCAGTTTCCTCTTCTCACAGCTTCCAGCTGAGTGGAGAGTGATAGAACAGTGACTGCTGCTTTAATTAGCTTTAGAGTCTGTGAACAAAGATTCAACAAAACCTTCTCTTTTTTTTGAGACAAGGTCTTGCTCTGTCACCCAAGCTGGAGTGCTGTTGTATGATCATAGCTCACTACAGTCTCGACCTTCTGGGCTCAAGTGATCCTCCCACCTGTCTCCTGAGTAGCTAGGACTACATCTGCATGCCACCAATGCCTGGCTAATTAAAAAAATTTTTTTTGTAGAGATGGGGTCTTGCTATGTTGCTCAGGCTGGTCTTAAACTCCTTGTCTCAAGTGATCCTCTTGCCTTAGCCTCCCAAAGTGCAGGGATTACAGGTGTGAGCCCATGCCTAGCCAAAACCTTCAGTTTTTAATAAGAATTTGGCCTTCAGTTGATTTTTGAGCTCTGATCCCCTAGTGACCAGATAATATTAAAAACCTGTTATGTTATTTAGCAATACTGCTTACATAAGAATGATGCTTGATGTTAAACTGCATCTGAACTGGGAGAATTGTAAGTATGTGTTAAGAAGCCATAGCTTGGGCTTCCCTGAGTGTAGTGACCCAGGTATTTGGTCATATTTTTTACGACATCTCTGCAGGTAATGTGTATGGGGTTCTTATAGGAGATTTTAGTTCTTGGTGGACCTGTGGGGTTTTTAAGCCAGGTCAGCTCTCAACCGACAGGAGGCCAAACAGAATGGGTCCTAGGAGCTATGTGAACACCTGCATAGATCATGGCAAGTACTACTCCCACAAGAGAGGGATAGCTGATAATACCCTTGCTGGCAAGCCGTGCTTCCTGCCTTAGGTCCTACTCAGTAGATTGGGACCAGATGAGACCTATGGTAATCTTGTAAGTCTGCATGGTTAGTTGAATCTAAAAAGACCACATCCTCACCCAGTGGGCATTTCAGTTAATAGTCCCTCACTTCAATGTCCCTCAGGATGAGAACTATCCAAGTTCTCACCAATAATCCCCAAACTTTTAACTCTGAGTTCTTTTCTGTGTAAAACACCTAGAAGGTGGCTTTCTAGCTCTGGATACCCTTGGCTGTGAGCACTAGACAAGTTATACATTTAGCTATTATGCCAATTTAATACTTGCTTTGCCTGTTTCTACAAATACGTGACTTTGATCCTGAGGTAGAACTCTTGGGATACCTGCCCTCTCGACATAAGTTACTAAATCCTCGAATAGGTGATCACTTCAAAGTTTATTTCTTCAGTTTTTCTGTATTTTCTTCCTCCCTTTCCAGTTTTAATTTGTCACCTCTTGTACCTTTATTTTTATCTTTGTCAACTTTATTTATGTTCATTTCTCTTCTTTACTCTCTTATGTGCCAATTCACTTACTCTTTCTCCTTCCATTGTTTTCTTCCTACTTTTTTCTTTTTAAATTTTCTTCTATTTATCTCTCTTTAACCTGCACCTTCGTTCTTTAGCTGTTACTATTTGTGTTGCTCATTCTCTCGCTTTATCTCCCCAGGCCTTCACTATCCTTTAGTCTCAACAAGTTCATTTTATTCATTGTTAATAACCTGTTATAACACCCAAAAATGATAGTGGAAAGAATGAAGAGTTAGTAAAACTTCACTCTTAATTTTATTAACTAACCTATCCTCTTATTTATTTATTTTTTTTGAGAAATGACTCCTGACCCTCGGTTTCCTTATTTCTAGATATGGGGATAATCACTGCCTTACCCATTGCCATTTGAATGTTGTTCAGATGAAACAATGTAATGTACACGAGCATTAGAAAAACATTAGTAAGACATTATAGGGATCACTCAAAGAATGTGACCAGGTTGCTAACGGTTGCTGAAAATAGAGCCTAACTCTGGAGAGAACTTTTGAGGGAAATTAGAAAGGAAAGGAAACTTAAAATTTGCATTATTTTACAAAGTGAAGATAATCTAATAATGGAAAAATTATTTATGTGGAAAGCAAGGCAGGATGGTGAGGTGCTGGGTTCTAAGTCTTTATTAAGTATTGGCTCTACAGAGCTAGATTATATGCTGAAGTGGAAACAGCTTAGGAAGGACCATCTCTAGGGGGATATTTTTTCGCTTTGCATTTCAGCTTCATGGTTAATATCTTCTTATTGCAGAACCTGGATGAGTTCAATGTGAAGGAGTAGTGGGTGGGACTATGAGGCAGCAGAAACACTTGATGCTTGAGTCCTTGGGCATGAATCATTGAAATAAAAGTAGATTGATGTTCTAAGTATTGTAAAGTACCAAAAGGCATTATAATTGAGAATCAGATGACTTACCAATGTTTTTTTGAGAGAGCTCTAAAAAAAAAAAAAAAAAGAGAGAGAGAGAGAAATCAGTAGTTATATGTATTTTTTAATGTATACTTTTTATTTATATAACTCCGCCAGTAGGACTCTGCATCACTAATCTCAAGTTCAGCTGCAGTTGTGTAGCAGAAATGGTGACTTTCTGGCTGTGGCAAACTAGTACATATCAGGGACTCCTCATCTAAACATCCCTTGTGTGATGCTGAGAGGCCATTGGAAATCTACAAGGTTCATCCTTCACTTTGTAGTTTGTGTTCATTGGTGATGTGTACATTCACAGTTATTCATGACTAGGTAGAAGACTACCATGGCTAGGTAGAAGACAAATAAGAGGTTGAAGAAAATGTGAACTCCAAACCCTTGAAATCCCAACATGGAAACCAGGTAGCCATCCCTAAGATACTGAAGGAAAGAAAAATGCTCACTGGATAATCAGATGGCAAACTTACTGATAGGTCCTGTAGCTCTAGCTGTGAGAGAGAGGGAAGGAAAAGAAAAACATATCAGTATGCTTCACCACTGTGAAGGAAATCCCCATTTCCCAACACTCGCTCTAGGGAGTATCATAAATAGAAACTCTGGGAAGATCAAGCGTTGCTTGTATGGCGAGCCTCAGGCAGGCTCCCTGATGCACAACATAAGGGACGTACAGGAAAAGAGGCCTCCTCCTGCTTTCAGTGAGGGTTGAAACTCTTCAGAGGGTTGGGAAAGACTCACTCCATATTAATCTGTTATGCTTCTATTTTTCTTCTTACATTTTCTTGCCCCTTGCCCTCAATTTCCTTAGAGAAATGGTTTATTTGAAAAGGGTACCTTCCCTTGCTGATGGCTCATTATAAATATTACTAAGAGGGCTGTTTTGGTTTATATTTTTAAACATTAGCCTGTGAGATTTCTTAATACTTCATGCATGGCTTCTTTGCAAACTATGTAATACGAATGCTAGAGGAGTTGAGAAAGAGTGTTAAGAAAACATGTCACCCCTAAACCTCAGCATCACTCAGTATACGCATTAGCAAACCTGCACATGTACCCTCTGAATCTAAAATAAAAGTTGAAATTATTTTAAAAAATGCAGGGCAGATCAGGCCCCAGGATCTTGTAGATCAGACATCTGATCTACAAGGGACCAGAGTGGAAAAACAAACTTGATACTCAGGAATAGGGGCTGTGAATTGCACTGAAATACAAAAGGGAGGAAAGTGTGGTTTGACATTGACAGAATTTTCATTTTACCAGTATTGTTTCTAAAGAAACTATGAAGCAATTCAACCAGAGGGATAAGAACTACTGTGGGACTGTGGATAATCTTAGCCTGGCAGCCCCACAACCCTCCAACCAGATTAAATCGTTCAGCATCCATCTTAAATGAGAAATGTAAGTAATTAAAAAATAATAAATATAAATAATAAAAATAAAATTTTAAGTATGAATTATTTGACTTTCCCTTGTCCTAAACTCAGTGACAATTCAGGACATTGTGTCTGATGTCTTGGGCATCAGAAGGTGTCAGAAGGTTTGAATACAATTAAGAAGTATGAGTGAGAAATCCTGCAGGGGTGGAAATGGCAACAGTTAGGATGTGGAGAGGACCCCATATCTCGCAGAAGGCCAAAGAACGTCAGAGGAAACAGAAAAGGAACCACTTATAGGTCCAATAGCTCCAGCTAAAATATGGGAAAAACAAAATAGAATTAATGAGAAAGTACTGTTTGCATTAAAATTCTTTCTGGGAAAACATCACAAATGTAGACACCAGGAGCAAAATTTCCACTTCAATGAAGGAACAAATGAAGTTTATAAATGCTTCCTTCTTCACCTGGGAGGACCCCGTTACTGCTGGGATCTGATCTGCCAGCGGGAGCTGTAGGGATACACTTGTAGTCAGGCAGGGTTCCTTTCCCTTTCCTGGCAGGTGTCCTGCTTGTATCTCAAAGATTACACAGGCCATTGCCTGTCTTCCAGCTGGCTAGTTTAAACTTGCTTAGCTAGAATCTATAGCCTCATCTTCTGAAGGAGACAGTGGGAATTCCTGTCTCTGTAGTGATTTTGGCCCTTATTCAACAGAGTAACTTGGCCTGCCATATATTAATATAAGAGGGAATAGAAACTGCTAGGTAGACTTAAGACATTTATAGGTATGAGTAGTGGGCAAAAGTTTGAGGTAGTAGACCCACACACTTGTTAATAATGCAGTAACAGTCTTCTTCTTTATGACCACACCCACCCCCACACACACATACACACATACACACCCACCCACACACACACACCACACCACACATCTCTATACCTCATAGACTGTAAGTGATCCTCTCACCTTGGTCTCTCCAAGTGTTGGGATTACATGTATAAGCCACTGCGCCTGGCCTAGTATGTGCTTTTATGATACCTATCCAGTATCTGCTCTCAAAGTTTGACTTGATTATTTTAATAATGTTTCATTTGTATAAATACTCCAAGAGGAGTAGACACAGGGTGTGATAAACTGTGAGCTTTAATTCTCAAATCATTTTTTTAGTCCTGCCTCCGGGGCTCAAGCTCTGAACATCCCCAAAAAGGAAGGATGGAAATGTGTTAGGAAGTGAATTAAACCCTGATGAGTTTCATCTTTCTTGTCTTTGACTTTAGGGTCACACTTGGCGTGGGGAATCTGCAGGGATGGAAAAGCTGGTTAAACTTGGACCAAGTGCTCTCATCTTTCAATTTCCTTTCTTAGGGCAGAGAATTAACATTCTCTAGAGCAATGGTTCTTAAACTTTGATATGCACACAGATCATCTGGGGATTTTGTTAAAATGCAAAGACTGATTTTGTAGGTCAGGGGTGGCCAATAGGCTGAGATTTTGCATCTCTAAAACTCCAAGATGATGTTGATGCAGGTCTTCGGACCCGCTTTAAGCATCAAGGTCATAAAGGGCAGGTAAAAATCTCAGATCAAATAAAAGTCCTTGTTTCCATTTACCATTTTTTTTCCTTTCTAAATCAGTCCTCTCACATATCCTTTACTCTCTATTCCCAACCAGTGCTTCTTCCAGAGATGTATGCTATAATTTCATTTAAAATTTTACCTTGCTACTTCTTTCAGATTTATTCTTTGCTTATAGCAAGGGATATACATCCCATACAAACATCAGTGACAGTCTGAGGACCCTTGGTCGGTGAGCTGGGACTCACTGCATGTCACTGAAGTTTTCTTGGTGGGTGTTAAGTGGAATGGCCACCATCAAGCCTCTTTCTTTGAGTGTTACTGGGTTTTCTCACAGGGGAATCTTTCTTCCTTTCACTGGACCATTTTTTGTTCTTATCTCTCTTCGCTTTGTTGTTGAATCTTAAGATTTTGGAAAAGTTAAAGGTAATAGCATTTTCTTACAGAGGCACCCCAGTTTATTAAGATAAGAATAGGGAGTAAAAAAGGGGAAAAGAATAGACAATTTGTGAAGGAAATAAAAAAATCTAGGAATATGAATGTCTTACATAGTCTAACAGTGCAGTAAAGCAAAGCACATGAAAATTAAAGGGCAGAAGAAGAACTTTCTAATAGGTCCTGCAGTTCTGGCTAAAATACAAACGAAAATGGTGAGTTTGGAGAGAGCACAGCTCAAGGATGTTTATCTCAGGGAGTTTCAGATCAAGCATTTACGACATATTTGATTTACATGGAAAGGCAGCAAAAAGGATAGTAGGCATTTTCCTTTTTTCCTTAGGAGACTGTTAAAATCAGTTCCTTTTCTTATTCTTAGTTTTTACTATCTTCCTGCTCAAATCCTTCTAAAAGTTATAGACAACTTTCCCCGGCCCCAGAATCTTTCTCACATTTTATTAATTATTCTAGTTTGTATCATCAGAGTTTCCACTTTGCCAAATGCAAAAAGTAATCAGCCACTTAGAGGATCTTGAAATCAGCCTCACATTCCTCACACTGGTAAAAGAAAGAGATAACAGTAAAATTGCAAGTTTTTCTCCTTTCCTCCATCTTAATGCGCCTTCTCCCCGTCACCCGCCCCATTCCTCTAGTAGCAGGCACAATTGTAGAAGAAAAAATCATTATACATGCTATGCATGTACCAAAGTATCACATGTATCCCATCAATTTGTACAATTATTATGTGTCAGTAAAAAATAGACTGAGTGGTAAATATGGCAGACTTACACAGAGGTTCTTTAGTTGCTTTTATACATTGAATACTACCTATAATAAAAATGGAAAAGAATAATGTTACTTAGCTTTAGACCTCCAGAGGGCACAGAGATAGACAATCCCATTCCCTCCTACCCCTCCCCAAGTGTGGTGCAAACAGTCAAAGGTTAAAGACCTGAGTCCCAGTTTTGCTATTCTCTAGCTCTGTGATTTTGAGCAGGTCACTAAATGTTTTGAATATTGATTTTCTCATCTCTAAAATAGAAGTTGTATCCCCTGTCTTACTTATATTGTGAAGTTGCAGTGAAAAATCAGGAGTAATAACAGAAGGGAAAGCTGAAAAGTTATATTAGAAATATTGTGGAAATATTCAGTTAACTATAAATGAATGAAATACTTTGGCTAAGTAGGAAGCTACTTTATTTTACCTTTTTCTGCTTTAATTTTTCCTCTGATTTCTGCCTGTCATTTGGTAAGTTCTGAGTCTTGACAACAGAGCATTATACTGTGCACTTAATTTTTTTTATTTATTAATCTGTGTTATTTTAATCTTTAAAATAACCCTATATTCTTGTGTACCTTAGTACTTAATTAGGTCCTTTTAATCTCTGTTGCTTCTGTCTTGATAAATAACTAATAATATTTTAAGATGTTGAAAATTTTGCAGTTATTTTTCTCTTACAATAATTGAATAATTTATTTCCTTTGTATATAATTGTTTTTTGCTTATCTGTGACTTTGCTGTTTTGGGGAGGGAAATAGTAGCTTTCCCCAGAAATGACAGGATCTACTCTTAGCATCTGGGGAGAGATGGCAGTTTTTCTATGAGGTATTTTAGGCTATCAGTCACTGAATTGTCAGTTTCTCGAGAAGGTGAAAGCACTCTTGCCACCAAATAGAGATAATTTTAAAAGGATAGCTTTCATATACTAAAGATATTTTAAGATTTATGATATTAACCTATATTAAGAATAACAAGTATATTTGAATTATGCATACTTAATTTTGATCAATTGGTAACGACTATCTGGAGATGAAAAGAATTTTAGGATACGTGTGGACTGAGCAGGAAGGAGAACCATGATCAATTACTGATGTCTGCTATAGGCAAAGGCATGAACAGAAATGAAACACAGGTCATATATATATATATATATATTCCATTCCTGACCCAGAGGAATATGCAGTAATGAGGAGAAAGGAATTTTTTTTTTTTTTAAATACAGGATCTCTCTCTGTCACTCAGGCTGGAGTGCAGTGACACAATCTTGGCTCACTGCAAGCTTCACCTCCTGGGTTCAAGTCATTTTTGTGCCCCAGCCTCCCGAGTAGCTGGGATTACAGGCATGCGCCACCATACCCGGCTAATTTTTGTATTTTTAGTAGAGACAGGGTTTCACCATGTTGGTCAGGCTGGTCTCACACTCCTGACCTCAAGTGATTCACCCGCCTCGGCCTCCCAAAGTGCTGGGATTACAGGTGTGAGCCACCATACTGGGCCAAGAAATGAAATTCTTGAACTGAGTATTTTGTGGCCTTTCCCAGCTGAAGACAAATAAGCAGAAAGGTATTTACTTGTCTTATGGAGTAAAGAAGCAGATAAAAAAAAACTTTCTCTCTCTCTCTCTCTACATATATATATATTTACCTCACGGATCCATGAGTAAGTTTAGTTAAAAGCAGTTCCAAAAGATGGTGAGAATTATCAAACTTTGCATGGTCAGTTAACAACTAACGAAAGACAAATAAGACTAATGCCCAGCCTTTCTCCACTGAATATAATGAGAGTTCATTCTATGGTAGCTTGTAAAATTTACTGTCAAAGTTAAAAAAACTTACGGATCCTTGAGGTAAATACACACACACACACACATCTCCTGCCAAAATACTGAATATTGTATGTTTTGGATTAAGGACACTGTCTCTGTGGATATTCTTCTTAATGGGAATGTCAGAGTTAGTTCTTTTAGCGAGTACCACATTTTCCATACTAGACAAAATTCTTGATTATCTTTGTGGGGATCACAAACTCAGTGTCATGAAGGGGCCCAGCAGGTCTCATGATTGTGAATCTCCTAGTTATAAGGGATAGAGATGGTGAAAATCCACGCGCTACCCAGAAGTATTCAATTCGAAATTTAAAATAATGCTGTGCTGGCCAAACAAAACATATCTACAGGTGGCACTGGGCTAGTGGTGCTAATGTGGGACCTCTATTTTCAGATAGGAAGAGACAAGTTAAGTGAGCACCATCTATACTCCAACAGCAGTGCAGCTTGAGGTCAGCATCATATGGGTTGTGGCTTGAGTTGGGATAGGGCAAGTGGATCCCTTTCTTTTCATTATTTTAAGGACAGGTATTGGTTGGATCACATTTAATTAAAACCTGTGAGTAATAAATTTGTTCTGATTGTGAGGCATATGGATTTTTTGATACCTTTTAGAAAAAATAATGAAATATGATGCACTTAAGATATATTTAATTCTATCTTTGAACAAGAAACAACTTTGCTAGTAGAAAATATGACCCTAAATGTAACCATAAATGTAATAGTCAATATGAACAATTTTGTAGGAAAAGCACATAGCTCAGAAAAAGCCCTGTCCAGCCAGGGTATCTGCTTTGGATTTTGTGTTGAGTTCCTCACTCTCTGCTCCTCATTCCTGTCACAATCTTCTCTTCATTTAGAAAATGTGCTCTTTTTTTTTTTGGACAATCAGTTGAAATCAGTTCCAAAAGGTTTATTTAAACTTTACCTCTTTGATTTTCCTCCCTTCTCTATTTTTTCCAGCTTCCCTCACTTTTCTGTTCTGTATTTTTGAGATGGAATCTCATTCTGTCACCCAGGCTAGAGTGCAGTGGTGCCATCCCAGCTCACTGCAGCCTTCGCCTCCCAGGTTCAAGCGATTCTCCTGCCTCAGCCTCCGAGTAGCTGGGATTACAGGCTCATGCCACCACACTCAGCTAATTTTGTATTTTAAGTAGAGACAGGGTTTCACCATGTTAGCCAGGCTTGTCTGAAACTCCTGACCTCAGGTGATCCTCCTGCCTCGGCCTCCCAAAGTGCTGTGATTACAGGCATGAGCCACGGTGCCTGGCCTTGTCTCTGTTTTTGTTAAGTCAGAGTTTTGCCCTTGTTGCCCAGTCTGGAGTGCAATTGTGCGATCTGGGCTAACTGCAACCTCCACCTCCCAGGTTCAAGTGATTCCCCTGCCTCAGCCTCCAGAGTAGCTGGGATTACAAGCATGTGCCACCACGCCCAGCTGATTTTGTATTTCTTTTTTTTAGTAAAGATGGGGTTTCTCCATGTTGATCAGGCTGGTCTCAAACTCCTGACCTCAGGTGATCCACCCATCTCAGCCTCCCAAATTGTTGAGATTACAGGTGTGAGCCACTGCACTGGGCTCTGTTCTTTTATTTGATTAATTTTCAACTGGTGAAATTAATTATGTAACTGACTTGAAATTTTAATGAGAGATTAAATAACTTGCCTATGTTCAAACAAAGAGTAAGTAGGGAGCTGGAATACAACTCCAGTTAGTCTGGCTCTAGAGTCTGCATGCTTAACTGCTAGGCGATAGTTATATATAAGTTGAAAATACTTTTTAGGCCGGGCGCGGTGGCTCAAGCCTGTAATCCCAGCACTTTGGGAGGCCGAGGCAGGTGGATCACAAGGTCAACAGATCGAGACCATCCTGGACAACATGGTGAAACCCCGTCTCTACTAAAAATACAAAAAATTAGCTGGGCATGGTGGCACATGCCTGTAATCCCAGCTACTCGGGAGGCTGAGGCAGGAGAATTGCCCGAACCCAGGAGGCAGAGGTTGCGGTGAGCCGAGATCGCGCCATTGCACTCCAGCCTGGGTAACAAGAGTGAAACTCCATCTCAAAAAAAAAAAAAAAAAGAAAAGAAAGAAAATACTTTTTAATTAACAAACAAATTTATTTTGAAAGTAATTTTTAGGCCGGGCTCGTTGGCTCACGCTTGTAATCCCAGCATTTTGGGAGGCTGAGGTGGGCAGATCACAAGGTCAGGAGTTTGAGACCCGCCTGGCCAAATATGGTGAAACCCCATCTCTACTTAAAAAAAAACAACAACACACAAATACAAAAATTAGCTGGTCATGGTGATGGGCACCTGCAGTCCCATCTACTCAGGAGGCCGAAGCAGGAGAACCACTTGAACCCGGGAGGTGAAGGTTGCAGTGAACTGAGATCGAGCCACTGTACTCCAGCCTGGCTGACAGAGCAAGACTCCATCTCAAAAAAAAAAAAGAAAAAAAGAGAAAGTGATTTTTAGTAGGTTTTATTATGTTACTATAAATTCATGGAGAAATAATGTATAGTTTAGGTAAGAAGTGAGCAATAACTTTTCCCCAAGCCCACAGTCAGAGTGAACAATATAATTCCTCCCTTGAAGGTAGGCTGTGATTAGAGAGGCACATAGTCAAGGGAGGATCTGTTTGAGATGGAAGAAAATCAAACCTGTTTACACCTTACAGAGAGGCAATTAAAGGAAGGAAAATATTTAAAGATATAGAAGAGAGAAGCAATAAATAATAAATAAGGGGTGAGAGGAAGGGGTCAAAGGAAAGAATGAAAGAATTTGGTTAAGCAAGGTGAGGGGGTCTCATTGTCTTAGAGAGAGGGAAAGGTGATGAAAGTGGACATGATCCTATTGAGATGGCTAATGAAGGACAAGGTGGAGAATTACGAGTCTTAAGCCCTGACGTCTCAGGGAACAGGCAATAGTTAAGGCAGGGAGAAGTTCTCTGCCAAGTGTAGGAGCCCAACAACACTAGATTTTGAAACAAGAAGAAAAACTTACTCATGGATCCTTGAGGTAAACCTAAAGAACAACAACAATGATTCAAGTCAGTCTAGAGTTAATAGTTTCAATAATTCATCAATTTCTCGAGTCTTCCCAGAAATTATGTCCTCCCTCAGGTTACTAGACTTCCCGCTCCCCTGTGGGTAGGCCCATAAAGTTGCCACATTGCGGGTGGTCCCGTGTCTTTTCCCCCTTAGACACTATCCAGGAGTGAAAGCTTCAGGGGGATATTTGGGTTAACTGTATTTCCGATATTCTGTTTCATTCGCCACCTTTCTCCTGTCTTTTCCATTTCTCCCTCCCTGTTCCTTTCATCTTTTCAGTTTGGAATCTTTTTCCATAATGTGATAGCCTCAAGAGCCAAAGAAAGGCAGTGTTAGAAAACTTCTAATTTTATAAGAAAAGAAAACCGACATCAGGAAAGGGAAGGGCAGTGCCTGAGTATGCAAAAAATTAAAGGCAGTTTTAGCCTCCAGTTTTCTTGATTTTAAGTTCGGCACATTTTCCTTTATATTCTTTACAATTTTCTTTTCTTTCTGGAATATTCCTTTAAAACATTTTTTTTTTCCATTAACATACTGACCATCTTCCCTCCCTAGCATTTTTTTCTGTTCTTTTTGTTCATGTCTAAAATGTTTCTCTTGTAAAATGATCTAAATTCTAGGGCAAGGCTTGTAGAAGTTTTAATAATACTAACTTTGGTAGTAAATGGTACAGGCTACCATCGAATGAACGCTCACTACATTCAGTGGAGAAAGGCTGGGCATTGGTCTCATTTGTCTTACATTCGTTGTTAAATTACTACGCAAAGTTTGATAATTCTCACCATCTTTTGGAACTGTATTTAAGTAATCTATGACAGGGTTTAATAATCTTTCTTCTGCTCAACTTGTATGATTCAATGAGGCTAAATTCACAAACTAAAGTCCTGTGTTCTTGGGCCTTTTAGCCTTAGGATAAGTTTTGGTGGGAGAAGCAAAAAGGCTGATATTCTAGAAGTAGGGCTTGCCTAGAAAGAGGCAGATAAGGAGGGCGAGGTCCCTAGACAACAAGGGTTTACGGTACTGAAAGAACCAAGAACTTGCTCAATTCCCTTGTGAGTTGTGCCAAATAGCTACGTCTCTAAATGCACATCAACTCCTTAAAAGCATCAGCGTTAATCCCCGTTTGAAGAGAAGGTCAGAAAAATAATCCCTTACGATACCTTCCCCAGGGAATATCAAATCCTCTATGCCAGCTGTAGTGATTTTCTCATGGATTGTTTAGGTATCTCGTACTTTGGTGGCGTGGCCAAGGCCCAGAATGACATGTAGGATTGATGAGCAGAGAAGGTGATTCCCTTTACCTCTTCTTCTCAGCCTTTGTAACGGCTAAAACTCTTAAGGGAATTTGGAAGACCTTATACTTTTTCTGGGGGATAGGGTTTCACTCTGTTGCCCAGGTTGAAGTTCAGTGGTTCTGTCATAGCTCACTGTAACCTCTCCCTATGGGCTCAAGTGATCCTCCCACCTCAGCCTCCTGTGTAGCTAGGAGTACAGGCATGCCACCTTGCCCTACTAATTCTTTTCATTTTTTTTGCAAAGACAGAGTCTTGCTATGTTGTCCAGGCTGGTCTTGAGTCCCTGGCCCCAAGGATCCTCCTACGTCTGCCTCCAAAAGTGCTGGGATTATAGGTGTAAGCCACCGTGCTTGGCCCTTAATCTTTTTTTTTTTCTTTTTCCTCTACATGCTTTGAGGAGGTGGAGGACCCTAACCTTGATTAAACTTTCCTTAGCCTCCCTGTGTGCTCCCTTATTATCTGTTTGCTCTCATTTCTCTTTCCTAAATTGAGAAATAGAAAATAAACTGAAATACGGTTTCTGAAGTTGGCACTGAGGGATAACAACAAAAATCCACATCGGTCTGAGTTAATTGGTTTATAAAGTATATAATTCTCGCTGAACTCATTTTAGAAAGGGGACCCTTGATTAGGTCTCATTAAGTGCAGAGGGCCGTCGACTACTAGAATACTTCAGTTTGCATCCTGGTTCCTCTACTTACTAGCTGTGTTACTTTGCCTGTTTTTTTTTTTTTTTTAATTTAATGCCTAAGTTTATTCATTTTGAAAATAGGATTTATAATAATATCTACATTCTAGGATTATTATGGAGAAAAAGTGTTTATGACAGAGCTTGGAGCATAATCCTCAACACACATTATTATATCACCGTTTCTGACTGCAGTCCTTATCTGTTTATACATACAGAGGTAGTGAACCATAGCCTCCTCTATCTTGGGCACTATGCTAGTTCAAGATTTTCAAAGAAATAATAGGATCAAGATCTTTGTGGTCCTGGTTTGAGAGGTTCTTTCCAAAGTTATCACAGTCCAGTGAGAATTCTCTCTCAAGAGGCCTCATCCATTCTGTAGGCCCTCACATCATCTTGAGCTTCAGGGTTGAGTAGCTTCCTGGTGGCCTTATGCATCTTTCAGTTAAATACTCTACATAACTAGTTACTCACCATCCTTTGAGATTAATCCCAGAATGTGTCATATTCTCATTTAACTTACTCACCATCCGAAGATAATCGTCAATGCTTTTTATAATTCCTAATCTGATATTCCTTTCACCTCTCCTTACTCTCTAAAACACACCATGCTGTCTGAAATTAATATCGGCAAATTTTCCTATATCTTTAAATTCTCCAAATGTTTTATTCACCATGTTGCTTTAATATGCCTGACTGTCCTTTAAAATACTGTATCTCAAGGCTGGGTGTGGTGTCTCATGTCTGTAATCCCAGCACTTTGGGAAACCAGGGAAGGCAGATCACTTGAGGCCAGGAGTCCAAGACCAGCCTGGGTAAGATGGCAAAATCCTGACTCTACTAAAAATACAAAAATTAGCTGGGCATAGTGGTGCACGCCTGTAATCCCAGCTATTTGGGTGGCTGAGGCACAAGAATCGCTTAAACCCGGGAGGTGGAGTTGCAGTGAGCTGAGATTGTGTCCTGCACTGCAGCCTTGGCAACAGAGGGAGATTCTGTCTCAAAATAAATTTAAAACAAATACTGAATCTCAGATATTGCTCCAGGGTTCCAAAGTTTCATTTAAATAGGAGGAATACATTTAGGAGAGCTATTGTAAAACATGGTAATTACAGTTAATAATGTGTTATACTTGACATTTGCTAAGAGAGTAGATTTTAAGTATTCTCACCACATAAGTATGTGAGAAAATGAATATGTTAATAGCTTGATTTAATCATTCAACAATATATACATATATCAATACATTATGTTGTATACCATAAATATATATAATTCTGTCAATTAAAAAACGATAACTTTTTAAAAAAAAACCCATGTCTCTTGCAGCTCTCTTAGTGATGTCTTTTTTTTTTCTTTTTCTTTTTTGAGACAGGGTCTCACTCTGTTACCCAGGCTGGAGTGCAGCGGTGCAGTCACAATTCACCGTAGCCTTGATCTCTTGGGCTCAAGCCATCCTCCCACCTCAGCCTTCCAAGTATCTGGGACCACAAGCATATGCCACCATGTTGGCTAATTTTTATTTTTTGTAGAGACAGTGTCTCACTCTGTTGCTGAGGCTGTGATGTCTGGTTTTTTTTTAGAAAAAATCCACACCCACATATGTGCCTGAATGTAGGTAAGTGACATTTTTGCTCCCCGCTGCTGTTTCCAAACAACGTCTTCTCCAGTGGAAACCCCTGTGGCCTTTGAAGCACATATGAGACTTTGTGTCTCTCTCCTTCTTGCTATTATAAATAAATATGATGGTCATTCTCTCTCATTTCATTCTTTACCAGAAGCTAGCGTTGCCTTTTTAAAGCATAAATGTGACTTTATCCCTTCCCTGATTAAAATTTTCCAATGGATTATTGTGGTGCTCAGAACTGTTCTCCATGTGTTATTCTAAAAGACTTGTTGTGATCTGGCCTCTCCCACCTTTCAAACTCCTCCACCGTCATTCACAACTAGCCTTCCTGCAGTCTTGCATGCATAATACTTTTCTTCCCCTCTCAGGAACTTGGCGTTCTTTCTGCTTGGGATGCTCTTCCCTAAGATCCTCACGTGGCTGCCACCTTTTCACCATTCATGTCAGTTCCAGTATCTCCTCAGAGAAATTTCTTTGAGTCTCCTAGCTAAAGGCCCTCACTTCTTGGTCTTGCTCTATCATATTATCTTAATTAGTTTTCTCCATAGAATTTACCATGATAGTCTAGTGATGATACTATGATAATCTAGTAATTATAGTAGGAATTATCTAGAAGGGGAAATTATCGTATTTGTTTATGTGCTTATTTTCTGACTTACCTGACTAGAATCTATGCTGTCTATGAAATACTACATTGTCTCAGGCATAGCAGTTGCGACTCTCTAAATGATTTCCCCTTTAGGGGGTTTTTATGGCAAACCTGTCTCACATGGGTCCTCTGGAAGTTTTGCTGGAGAAATTAAAGTTTCGAGTTTATCGTTTAGCATGTTTCAACCCCAAGATATCTTACCTTTTCTGTGAGTTAGATGAAAACAAAGCAAAACTAAATAAAATGTGTTTTAATTATAAAAGTAATAAAATACTGAGCTTGACAGCTTTCTAAGGGCACCTGTTAGCAGTTATATATACAACAAAATAGCCTTATTCATGGGATAAGGTTATGGCACAATATTGGATTAACATAATAATTCTGATATTTTATATTAATTTACATTTTAAGATTTTCAAATTACATTTTAAAAAGTGAAGTAATATATATTTAACATATGCATGACTTTCTAAATTCCTTGGAACAAACATTTTATTTCCAAAGAATACTTTGGATTAGAAGAGTAAATATATTTAATAATGTCCTGGGAGTAGTTAGACAAGCTCAGGACTTGGAGTCCAAAGGCCAGTTTTTAAAATCCCAGTTTTACTCTTTTTCTAGCTTTGGTCAAGTTAAATAATATCTTTAAACTTCATTTTTTCCTCATGTGTAATATCTCTAAATAGTCAAGAAACATGACTTTCTTTTTTTTTTTTGAGACGGAGTCTTGCTCTGTTGCCAGGCACCAGGCTGGAGTGCAGTGGCGTGATCTTGGCTCACTGCAACCTTCGCCTCCCCAGTTCAAGTGATTCTCCTGCCTCAGCCTCCTGAGTAGCTGGGACTACAGGCATGTGCCACCACGCCCAGCTAATTTTTAGAAGATCTGGGGTTTCACCATGTTGGCCAGGATGGTTTCGATCTCTTGACCTCATGATCCGCCTGCCTCGGCCTCCCAAAGTGCTGGGATTACAGCGTGAGCCACCACGCCCCGCCAACTTTCTTTAATTACAACCTTCTCCTTGTCCCCTACTTCCAGGCCCTGGTCTCTTCACAAACCTCTCTCTTCTTCCCTCCTATTTCTAAGTTAATGAAGCTATTTTTGTTTTGCTGGAACTCTGATTGCCAGCTAAGCCATTTTAATCATCTCTTTATTCTTTAATCAGTGGACTTCTCATTCTTCAAAGGTCTCATTAATTTCAGACAAAATGCTCAATGATGGGGAAGGAAAAGGTGAAGGACAAGAGCTCAGCAGAGTTAGGAAATGTTCCTTAGCTCTGTGACACACCAAAGAGACTTAGAATTTGGAAAGTTGAGTTTTTCTTTATGCTTTCTTAAAAAGAAATGCAACAAAAAATTCATGTGGTTGTCTAGCTCAAAAACTATCAATTTCTTTCTTTTTTGCAGGGTACCGGGTAAGGATAAGTAGCAGAACAAGGAACCCCTGGGAGCACCAAACCCTTAGTGTCAGTCGCAGCTCAGGGAGATAGGAAATTAGGCATCTCTTCCATTGCTGCCAGCCTGACGTGGGGTTGCCTCAGGGAAGGCTACCCTTTCCTGCCAGCCATGCAAAGCTTTGAAATTCTGAGGACACAGCTAATATAATTTATCTCTCATTCTTTATTATCTTCATTCTCATCTTATTTTTCTTACTAACTTCTTGCTTTTATCCTTCTTTATTTACTCTCTTTTTTTCAACACTTCAGGTTTGGAAATTGCTCTCTTCATATCATCATTATAAACCACTAGAAACTTGCATTTTCTTTCTGTACTTTTGACTGATTATTGAGGTGTCTGGTTATGGAGAATAAAGAAATTAGAGAAATGTGAAGCTCAAGTTGCTGCTGTGCTTCAGTGAAGAAGTCTAGGAAGTTGAGGAAAATATTCTCTTGATTAAATGGGGCTAAATGTCAGCACAATTGAGAAAAGTAAAGGAACTTACCAACACCTGATGGAGACAGTGCTGAAATAAAACACATCAAAACAAGAATGAGTTCTGCTTGTCCAGGTAGAACTTAGAGGCCATAGACACTCTATTGCAGAAAGGTTGTGGGAAAGAGGATAGAAATGAGTCATATTTCATTTCCTGTTATCAACTGGAATGCAATGTGGTGATCAGCTGGATATTGACACATGGATTGCAGTACTTTTTTTGACTACAAGATCTATGCAGACTTTCTTTTAATTTTGGCGATTAAGAGAATAAAAATATTTTTGTAGATTGCTAGTTTCTCAATCTATGGACATTTTTCTGTTCATATGTCTTGTTTCACTGGTGATTCTGCTGCTTTGTTCTTTCCTTCTCTACCTTTCTTTTACCTATTCCTTTCTCTCCTTTTCTTTCTTTTTTTTTCCCTTTGTTTGAAAATACTTTTTGTTACACCAAAATCACCATCTAACTGCTTCAATAGGGGCTTCCACGTTCCAAAATTCACTTGTGCCCTATAGAGATGAATAGCGAGAGATCAAATCAGGAAGTTCTTGAATAACACTAGAAGCTAAAGAGTCAAAGCAGTGAAAGGGCGCTGACTATTGATATTCATCCTCTCCTTTAAGTGATTACTTTGAGCACTGTATTTTTTAAAGTTTATAAAGTAGAGCTGCACTTGAAAACTAAAAAGGGAAGTAATATATTCAAGAAAAGTATATCAAGAAGGAACCCATATGCTTGGTAATGAATTAGAAGTTTCTACCCATGTGATATCTTATTGCAGGGGCTGAGTCTTAAACACCTGATCACCCACAGAAATCAAGGCTACAGTCATGCATTGTAAGAACCTGGGATGCTCTTCCTTTAATATGTTAGGTTACATGGCAATCAAAGTTGCTAATCAGCTCACCTTAAAGTAGGGTGGTGATTTGGTATATCTGGGTAGGTCCAATATAATCACAAAGATTTTTAAGAGTGGAAGAGGGAGATAGAAGAGAGTAAGAGAAAGAGATGTTACAAAGGAAGAAAGCCAGAATGATGTGATGCGAGGACTTGATTTATTTTTGTTCACTTCAAAGATAGAAGAAGGGTGCCATGAACCAAGGAATGTGGTCAGCCTCTAGAAGCTGAAAAAGCAAGGACACAGATTTTTTCCTAGAGCCTCTGGAAAGAATGCAGTCTAGCTGACAACCTGATTGTTGTCCAGTGGGACGAATGTGACAGATTTATAACCTATGGAACTGATAGAGAACAAATTTGTGTTGTTTTAAGCCATTAAATTTGTGGTAATTTGCTAGAACAGCTATAGAAAACTAATGCAACATGTTTAGACTACTTCACCCAAATTCTCTTGTAGTTAGTTGTGGCTATATGATTGAGTTCCAGCCAATCTACTGTTGTTAGAAGTGATATGAAAGTCATTAAGCGGATGATCTTGGAAGATCATCTTGTCACGATCTTCAAGCTTTTTTCTTTCTGTTCACGTATGGAGGACAAACATGATGAACTTAGGAGCCATTATTTGAAGATGGTGGAGACTTTAGATAAGATGAATTTGAGTGCCTAAGACATTGCTGAGAGAAGGGCCATACACCAATCTGGAATTCCTGTTTTGGACTTCTCATAAGTAAGAAATAAAATTCTATTGGGTAAAACCACTGAGATTGTAAAATCTGGGGTTAACTTAATCAATGCAGATAAGAAATGCAAAAGAGAAGATGGAAAAAAAATCTTTATATACATAGTAATTTTAGAAGTAGAGACTACAGTTTGTAGATATAGATATAAATATGGGCAAAATTCATAGCAATTAAAGTTAAATTTTTCTGTTTAGAGAAAGATTGAGTCCATAGAATGGAAACTCTTGAATGTTTATGAATGTAAGATTAACTTCCTTTATCTTGCTCAGAATAAATGGAAACATTCAAGAGTTTCCATCTGGATCTGAGATTCACTTCATTTTTCCTGCTCAGGATAATCTTACACTCATAAAAAGTTAATCTCACACCCATAAACATTATAATTAAAATGCACAGCACAGAAACAAAGAGAAAATCTTGAAAATATATTTATGTAGGAAGAACCATCAAACTAGTAGCAGATTCTTATGAACAATAATAAATAATAAACAAGAAAATGGAATAAATCTTCAAAGTACTGAGAAAAAATAATGTTCAATTCTATACTTAGCTAAGTTTTCGTTTAAGGCTGAGGGTGAAGTAGAGCTGTTTTTAGTCATATGATGCCTTAGAAAAATTTTCACACACATACGGAGTTTAAAGAACCACTAAGGGACTGTATCTGGGCAAGAAATAAAAGAGAAATGATGTAGGATATAGCAAATCATGTTAAGCAAAAACAATGCTGATTTTCCTAAGTCTAGGTAATTGTTAATCATGAAAAATCAACGATTATTTTATTTTTAAAAAGAATGCCATAAACAAGATGGAGAATGTGGAAAGAATAGTTTGGAGGGAAGACGGTCAATAAAGGTTATTATCTAGTCTTAGGAGAAGATGCTGATTATCTTTAATTTTTAAAGAAAAATTAAATAGTACACATGTTACAAATATAAGGAGGAATAAAACAAAATCCAGAAAAACAGTAAGCAAAACAAAAGAAACAAGGAAATCTAATGTAGCAGCAGAAGGCAGGAAAGAAGATTTAAAAAATAAAAGAAGAAAGCATAGAACTCTAAGTTGAAAACACAATATAAATTGGCAAAATTTAGATAAACACATAACAATTCACAATATAAAATGAGTTAATTCATCTATTAGGGAACAGAAAATTTTACATTGTTAATATCAACAAAGTCAAGCAATAGGCCATTTAAAAAGATACAAGACAAAAAAACTCCTAAGGTTCAAAATAAAAGGATGAAAAATATGTATAATAGGCAAATGCTAATTAAAACAAAGATGTTAGAACAATGCTAATATCAAACAGCATAGAGTTAAAGTAAAAAGCAGTCATGAGGACATGAGTGGATATGAGGATATGCGTTTCAGCAGCATTTAGAAGTTACTTAGACACTTCTATTAGAAAGTAGGAGCGCCCACTTTGGCAGCACATATGCTAACATTGAAGTGATGCAGAGATTAGTGTGGCCCACGTGTGAAGATGGCATGCAAATTCATGAAACGGCTCATATAAAAATAAAATTAAAAAGAAGATAAGAAACTCTGGAAATTAATTAAGAGCTTCATATAGCAAGCTAGTAAAAGGAACAAAAATAAAGCAAAAGTAAGGAGAAGGAATTTTAGCCATAGACACACATAGCCCAAGCTATGACAAGAAAATGGTTTCAAGAATTGGAAAAGGAGGTCAGGAGCGGTGGCTCACGCCTGTAATCCCAGCACTCTGGGAGGCCGAGACAGGTGGATCACGAGTTCAAGAGATCGAGACCACCCTGTCCAACATGGTGAAACCCTGTCTTTACTAAAAATGCAAAAATTAGCTGGGCGTGGTGGCTCGTGCCTGTAGTCCCAGCTACTCTGGAGCCTGAGGCAGGAGAATCACTTGAACCCGGGAGGCAGATGTTGCAGTGAGCCGAGATGGTGCTGCTGCACTCCAGTCTGGTGACAGAGCGAGACTCCGTCTCAAAAAAAAAAAAGAAAAAAATTGCAAAAGGAAACTCAAGATTATCAGATTTTGCAGATGGCATGATTTTTTACATGTATAATTCAAGAGAATCTAAAAATTATTAGAACTCAAAGAACACAGCAGGTGGCTAGATATAAAATCTACTCTCAGATATACAACATATAACTTATATGCCAGCAATAATTATTTGTAAAATCCATATAAAGAAACTATTCACATCAGAAAGAAAAAAAATATGTGTATAGGAATTAATCCAACAAAAGATATGCAAGACCTTTCTGAAGAAAATTATATTACATTATTGAAGGGTACACGAGAAAATTCAAATAGTAGACAACTATGTTAATGCATGGGAAGAACTGATTTTATAAATTCATTACAGACTCGAAATTTCAATGAAGTTTCAAGAGTCAAATATGACTCTCAGGGATTTTGAGAAATTATAAAATTCTCGTGTAAGAGAAAACGTCCAAGAATAGCCAACACATTTCTGAAAAAGAACAAAGATAATGTGCGATTTCTTATAATAAACGTTATAAAGTTTTAGTAGTGAAAGCAATGTAGTATTGGTTCAGTAAAAGACAAAAGATCACTGGAACAGAAAATAAAATCCATGGAAAAAACAAATACGGAATGAAGACGGCATTACAAATCAGTGGAGAAAGAATGCACACGTCAGTAAATCTAGTTGGAGCAACATGAGAAGAACTCCATCTGGCTGGTTTTCCAGATGAGAGGAAAATTAGATCTCACCTGTATTATTTCTAAAATCACTCACCAAAACCCAAAAACAATTAACAAAACCCCATTTGGATTAAAGGTCTATATGTGGAAAGGGAAACTTTAAAACTGTTAAGAGAAAGTGTTAGGTAATATATTTTTGATCCCCAGATAAGACCAAGCAAACAAACAATAAAGCAGAAACTAAAAGAGAACAAAAGATTGACAAGTTTTATTACAATAAATTGTGTGGTGTTGGGGGAGAGTGAGTGGAGGCCTTCTAAGAGTCAAGAGACACCATAAAAATTTAAAGCTAAGAGAGAATTGGAGGAGATAATTGCAAATATTTAACATAACATAAAAAGTTGATGTTTCATAATAATAAGGAATTCCTACAGATCAGTAATCTAATATACAAATGGTGAAGTAAATGAACAAGCAATTTACATAAGGTGAAGCCTAAGTAGCTAGCAAACCTATGAGAAGATACTCAATTTCAGGAGTGAGCAGGGAAATGGAGATTTTAAAAATTGTGCATGTATTCAAGTGTCAATAATATAAAAATATGACAACATCTGGGATTGTTACTATTGCAGAGAAATGGGAAACTTTTATATATTTTTGTATAAAAATACATATACCGCTATGTAACTACCAAGGAGCTTGATTAATTAATAGCTAGTAAAATTTAAAATATGCATGAATTATACAAATGTTCATATACAATGTGATCATTAATCCTACTTCAGGGTATGCACCCTGGATAAACTCTTTTCCATCTACTTAAGGACATTCTTTGCAGCATTATTTGCTATAGCAGAAATTGGAAACATTGAGAATGCATCAACAGGAGAAATAATATAAAAATATTGTATATTCATAAATTGGAATATTATTCAATAATTAAAGTGTATAACCTGGATTTCAGTATTACATTTTGAGAGAAAAATGCAAATTGTAATGCTACTATCAGACAGATGCCATCTTTGTAAAACTAAACATTAAAAAAAATTATACTGTATTTTGTCCAGTGATAGGTAGAGACTCTAAATATATGTAAATAGACTTAAAATATATTAATAAGACTGGGAAGAAGGGAGTGAAATAAGTCTATGATAACTTGAGAAATATGACAAGAATATTATCAATTTGTCACATCTAAGGTGTAGATATACAAGCGTTAATTATTTTTATACTTAATTTAAAAAACTTTCTTAAAAGAGAAAAAATACAGAAACAATAGGGCTTGCAAACCAGATGACAGTAGAATTGAAAGAAAACCACAAAGCACTTACCTAGAGAGTTGGCTGATGGTGCTGAAATACACACACAGAAAACACGAGGTGAATCATGAGAATTTGGATCTCTAATCTTTGCATATCAGCTTCAGTCACTGTCACCCCCTTCTCAGGAGTTGAAACCTATGCCCAGGGGGACATCACTGATCTGGTGATCGGTACCAAAGGCCACTCCCACGAGCTACTGCATGTGCTTTTGAACTCTAAAAAAGGGTTTAATTTATAGTAGGTAGATGCCATTCCTGTTGTCCTAATTCCTCCCTCCATTTCCCTCTCTATTTTCTTCTCTCTCTCCCTTTTATCTTCATTACTTACATTTTCTCTTGCTCATCACTTCTTCTATTGCTTTCCTTTTCTCCCAGCCAATTTGAAAACCTGTTTGTTGCTGACAGATCATTCTAGACTAGCACTAGAAAACTTAGTATTCATATGACTTGACATATGACAGGATTTCTCTTTCTTCAAAGCATTTACAATCTATGGAAATGTTGCTAAGGGGAAGCAAATTTTTGTCGAGAAACAAGGTAGTACTTACTGTAATCTCTTTTGGATCTCCCTGAAAACACAAACAAAAGAGAGAAAAATCAATTTGGATATTTTATTTCTGTAGTTTTGGTATCATTACAGAGGATCACCCAATTAACATCCTCAAATATCCAATTAGACAAGAAACTGGAAACAAAATCTCCTCATGACTTAATTTATAAGTTAAATGACATAAAAAACCAGGCAAAGATCAATTAAGATAAATACATGTAGTGAGAAGAAATAATAAACTATCCATGCAAACATTAAAACAGAAGAATATATAGTTATAAAAGTTGAGGTCAAATAAAATAAGGAATGTAAAATATTTCCTCACCTGATGGAGAATTCAAGTTCGATGAAAATATGGCAAATTATAATGAATGCATATGTGTACATTGATTGTGACTGAATGTGCATCCTATGATCTAAAACCTGTTCTTAGTGGTGTCATGGAAACAGACTTTCTAAAAGATCTGGAGACAAAGCAAATTGCAGGACAAACTAGACATGTTATCTCTGTTGTTTTCATAAAAGTATAAAAGTAAATAGTAATATTGATACTTTGTAGTTGATTTAAACTATATTGAATCATAGTGTCACGTGATATTTTACTAAAGTATAAAGATCTACTCAGAAATGTAAAGACAACAGTATTCTTTTTCAGCTTCTTTTCTGAAAATGAGTGCTCTCCTTCTATATCTATACTTGATAGTTATTGTGTGCTCTCCTTCCATACTTGATAGTTAATGTGATGGGAATCAAGGTCAAAATACATTCTCTGTTTTATAATAATGTTACTTGTTTCTCATGGTTCTATGGGGATTTTAAAAATGGAAAATACATCAAGATGTTAATACAGTTGCCACAAAAATTAAAAATACCACTGAGGTGCTGAATACTTTCATATGCCACACTTCTAATTTGTTATAAAAACTTTCATGTACTACACTTACGTTTGCTAGAAAAATACTAAGAATAAATTTAATTTCAGAAAAATTTTGGAATAACCATGGCAGCTTTTATATGTGATATATTTAAATTAAACTGAACTTTGAGTACAGAATTTCATGTACCTACACTGACATAATGACCTTACCTAATATTAACATCTTCCTGCCAGAAGATTTCTATAGTCTCAAGTTGACCAGTACATTTATATTCCTATGCCTAGAAACAATAGAGGGAAGGCTAATATAGCTGGGGAACTTAGAAACTTAGGATGACTGAGATTTATAGGTTATGTTATGGGGACTGGAAAGTCAGAGAAATAGTTATTTGGCTTTATGAATTTTAAATATGACTTATTAAAACAGCAATAAAATGTTTACTGATTCAAGTTTTTCCCTAAGAATGCAAGGGAGCCCTGATTAGAAAGATACCAAGATTGTAGGCTGTACCCTAATTATCTGTAAACAGGAAATTAAAACTTAAGTTATTACTAAATTATATAAGAATAAACTCTCCAACCTTCTAAAATTTGGAAATCAAGACAATTCTAAATTCCTGGTTAGGTTGTCACTTGCAAGTGCTGTGGCCCTGGGCAAGTCAGTAATGTTTTTTCAGCATTAGTTTCTCTTCTGTGAATTAGGGATAACAATAATATATTACATTATTCATTTAAGAGCTATTTATTAAGGATCTCCCTGACTGTGGTGACGAGAATAGACTACAGAAGGCAAGAGGAATACAAGGAAACAAGTTAGGAGGCAAGAGACATTGGCACTTAAGCTAAGAGTGTCATGGTGGTGGAAAGTGGTTTGATTTGGAGTACAATTTGAAGGCATCACAGATGGGACTTGATAGTGGGTTGGATGAAGAGAGTGAGAAAGGAGTTAAATATGACTCCAAGGTAGGTAGTCTGAGCAATTAGGTGAATACAGGTTCCAGCAACAGTGTGTAGAAGGGATTAGGGCTTGGGTTTTAGACATGCTAGGAGTGAGATGCCTTTCATATGTCTTCAGGACAAGTGTATTATGATTATAGTGGTTGTTCACTGCACAAAGAGTTAAGGGAACTGAAATCCCCAACAGTGGCTCTGGGGTGGGCCTGCATTCACCTGGAGGAAGGAACACCTTTTCTTAATATGCACCAAAGCAACCTGTGGGCTTTGGTAGCCAGGGAGGGATTTGTGGGTAGTTCATCTTTGTGTGGTTGACAGGTTGTTTGTAGATATTAAATATTAAGGAAATGAAAAAAAAATGCCCATCAGAGTGAATAACACATAGTAGGTACATGTTAATTCTCTTCCCTTCTGTGGTGTGTAGCTTTATTTTGCTTATTTGTGTACCCTTAAATTCCTAACATTGAGGTAGCATCTTGCACTGGTTAAATCTGGTGTTCCAATGGACTATTAGTAAAGAGGTTTGTTCCCAAGAAATGTGAGATGTAAATGACAACAGTAGACAATAGCAGCATTTCTTTGTACCTTTGGAATTTTATTGCATAAATCGTGCTTTAATGCGATGAACTTTTAGGAATTTATTCCTCGATTTCTTAAAATTTCCATTAAGAAAGGTGCAATGAGTAGTTAGCATTTGTGAGATTTGGGATGGTGATTTCTCTTGACCACTCAGATTATTTTCTCTTTTCTTTAGCTTTATTGAAGTATAATAGACAAAAATTATATATATTTAAGGTGTACAATGTGGTATTCTAATATATATATATAATTTTACTATGTGTATATATGTATATATATATATATACACACACACATAGTAAAATGATTGCCCCAATCAAACGAATTAACATATCTACCACTTCACACACTTACTTTTATTTTTCATTTTGTGATGAGAATATGTAAGCTCTACTCTCTTAGTAAATTTCAAGTATACAATACATTATATAGTCACCATGCTGTACATTGGGCCTACATAACTTGTTTGTCATAAAACTGCAAGTTTTTACCCTTTGGCCAACATCTGCCCATTTCTTCCACCCTCAACCTCTGGTAATCACCCTTCTGCTGAGTTCAACTTTTTAAGATTCCTTATATACATGAGATCATGCAGTATTTGCCTTTCTGTGCCTGGCTAATTTTACTTAGCATGAGGTCTTCCAGCTTCATCCAGGTCATTGCAAATGGCAGGATTTCTTTCTTTTCTTAAGGCTTAATACTATTTGTTGTGTGTGTCCGTGTATCACATTTTCTTCATCCATTCATCCACTGATGGACACCTAGTTTATTCCTGTATCTTGGGTATTTTAAGTAATGCTGCAATGAATATGGGAATGCAAATATCTCTTCAAGATAATGATTTTTATTTCCTTTGAATATATGCCCAGAAGTGACATTGCTGAATCATATGGTAGTTCTATTTTTAATTTATTGGAGGAACCACAATACTGTTTTCCATAATGGCTGTATTAATGTACATTCCTAACAACAGTGTACAAGGGTTCCCTTTTCTCCACATCCTTGCCAACACTTGTTATCCCTTGACTTTTTGAATGCATCCTAACTGGTGCGAGTTGCATTTCCTTGATGATTACTGATGCTGGGCACCTTTATCTTTATTTATTAGTTCGCTGTATGTCTTCTCTGAGAAATGTCTATTTAGGTCCTTAGTCCATTTTAAAATCAACTTGTTTGAGCTGTATTTTGACTTGTATCTTGCTTTTGAGTTGCATGAGTTCCTTATATATTTTGGATATTGCTATGGTTTGATTGTTCCCTCCAAAACTCATATGGAAACTTAATCCTCGACGTGACAGCATTGAGAAATGAGCCTTAAAGAGGTGATTATATCATAAGGGTTCTACCCACATAAATGGATTAATCTGTTAATCGAATAATGAATTGTCATGAAAGTGGAACTGGTGGCTTCATAAGAAGAGGAAAAACCTAATCATAGCCTGTTAGGCACCTTGCCATGTTATGCCCTGTACCACCTCAGGAATCTGTAGAGAGTTCCCACCAGCAAGAAGGCTCTCACCAGATGTGCCCCCTCAGCCTTGGGCTTTCCATTCTCCATAACTGTAAGAAATAATAATAAGCTTCTTTCCTTTATAAATTACATAGTTTTAGTTTCCTCATACCTGAAAAACAGCTTTACAGGGTAAAGAGTTCTTGGCTGACAGTTTTTTTCTTTCAGCAACTTGAATTTATCATCCCACCAGGTACTGGCCTAGAAAATATCTGCTTAGAAGTGCTAATACCCTTTTGCTGAACCTTTAAATGTGATATGCCTCTTTCAGGATTCTCTCTTTAACTTTGATTATTGACAATTTGACATAATGTCTTAAAGAAGTCTTCTTTGGGTTGAATACAATTGGAGAATTTTGAGTTTCATGTATCGATATGTCTGTATCTCTTCACAGATTTGTTGTTAGCAATTATGCCTTAAATAAGCATTTATTCTATTTTCTTTCTCTTTTCCTCTGAGAATCCAATAATGCAAAAGTCAGCTTCCTTAATGGTTTCCCATAAATCTTGTACACATTTCTTCATTTCTTTTCTTTGTGTTTCTTTTTTGTACTCTGACCAGATAATTTTAAATGACTGTCTTCGACTTCTCTTGTTCTTTCTTGTACTTGATCCATTACCTTGGAAACTCTCTATTCCCTTTTTTATTTTTAGTTTAGTCATTGTATTCTTCAGCTCCAAAATTTGTTTGGCTCTCTATTTTTTTCTATTTCTTTGTTGAACTTCTACTTTTGTTCTTGTGTTGTTTTCCTGACGACACTAATTTGTTTATCTGTGTTGTCTTGTAGCCCACTGAACTTTCTTATAACAATTGTTTTGGATTTTTACTCAGGCAACTTGAAGATTGATTTTTGGCAAACCTTCGATTTGGTGGTTCATTACTGAAATATTATTGTGTTCTTTCAGTGGTGTCATGTTCCTTGGTTTTTATGTCCTTGAAGTCTTGTGGTGCTTTTTCACATTTGAAGAAATGGTCACCCCCTTCAGTATCTGTTAACTGTCTTTGGGAGAGAAACGCTTTCACCAAACAGCCCAGTTGAGACTCTCTCAAAGCTTTTCTATGGATGTGCCTACTCCACAGACGGGAATTTTTTTTTTTTGAGACAAAATCTCATTCTGTTGCCCAGACTGGAGCAGTGGTATGATCATGGCTCATGGCTGCACCAAAGTCTTGGGCTCAAGCAGTCCTCCAACTTCAGCTTCCTGAGTAGCTGGGACTATATGCGTATGCCACCACATCTAACTAATTTTTTTTTTTTTTTTAGAGACAAGGTCTCACTATGTTTCCCAGGCCAGTCTCAAACTCCTGGGCTCATGCAGTCCTCCTGCCTTGCCCTGCAAAGTGCTGGGATTTCAGGCATGAGCCACCACACCCTGTCTAGATGGGATTTCTAAGATTGTGCCTTCTCTCAGTCCTGCAAAGGCAGTTCGGGTTCTGAGAACCTTCCCTTTGTTTTCTCTAGGGTGGTGCTCTGGAATTCTCAAGTTTCTGTGCTTTTTTCAAGTCCCACAAAGTCAAACTGACTATGAGATGTTTCCACTTGTTGTCCATGGTGGTTCATTTGGGGACTCAGCCTGGGTGGGAGAGTGAAATTTGTGGAATGTTTGGTGTGCCTGTGGATCAGTAGTGCAAGGGGCATAGGTCAGGCATCTCAAATGGCAGGCTTTCTGATGAGGTGTGAGTGAGTTCTGCAGTCTCTTTTCCCTGTTCCCACCCTCTCCTAACCATTCAACCATGCTGATCATCTCGGTGTTCTGGGTGGAATGAGAAATAAGTGGGTCTACTGGACAGCATCCTGAATTGAATGGCCAAGGGATGTGGGCACTCACTCACTCATTATGTTTTCCACTTTTTTGCTGTGGAAGGAAGTGTGGGCCAAGTGGACCTATCTCAGCATTGAGTTGTGCCACCTTGGGGGAGAAGTGATGTGGGTAAAAGGAAACTGTTCTTCTTACCCTCTTTAATACCTCTGTTCTAGGATTTTATAACCTGACAGTGTGCTGGAACTTCTCAGCTGGACTCCTGGACTCCCACAAGGGTATTGTCTCATCTGTGGATAGTTGTCTCAACTGACGTTTCTGTGTGGGAAGAAAGCTCCTATTCTACTATCTTGCTGATACCATTCTCTCATATTTCTTTTGTTAAATGCTTAGGAGTTGGATAGGAGAGGAATTGCATAGCTTTGGGGAAAATGGTGCTGCATAGTGTGATGGTGAATGTTTGTGAATATTTCTCAGGATATTCTGTACACTACTCTGATTTCTTCTTCTTCTTTTTTTTTTTAAAAAAAGACTTTGGTCAGTTTTTATATCTTTCTATGTTATGACAGGAAGAAGCATTGATTTTCCTTTAATTTTGCCAAAATCTCTAAATATACTCACCTTGGTTATCATATGAAGTATCTAGAGAATTGAAGAAAAATTATAATATTCTTAATTACTCATACATAGACTCCTATATTAATTTCTTAGCAATACAATAATTTACCACTTTCTGTTGAATATGCATGTTGGGATCCTAAAAGAGAAGATTAAAAATGTAATGAGATTTTACCTTAACAAGTAAGTCTATATTATTTTTTGTTAGATAAAAATCTGTTTACCTCTTCCTCTTTTAGATCTCTGAGAAGAAAAATCTTTTAGGAAAGAAAATAACATATTAACTTTACAACAGTTCATTAAAAATAAGTTTATCATTAGTCTCAACCCAACTACTAAAAGATTTGCCAATTTCCCAGATATTCTCATTTTCTTTGGGTTTTATTTCAGAAAATAAGAGGTAATGCCATGGCACTTTGTTCCTCACTCTTGTTGTTCACGATAGACGAATCACAGAGGCAAAAAGGAGAAGGATGGACCAAGAGTTCAAGTGTGGGGCATGGACAGCAAGCAAAGTGACTGAGCTACTTCCTCTTTCCCTTCCTCAACTCTCAGGGATCTATATGCTTGTAGAGTGTGTGTGTGTGTGTGTGTGTGTGTGTGTGTGATTACATCCACATATCCACATCTACAGTCTCATAACCTTATAGTTCTGGTGTAGCTGGTGGGCCGGGTGTGGACAACTTTAGTGACTTCCAGCAGGAATGAGAGGTAGGTCTAGTGGTTCTTGTTGAGTTCTGGAGATAGGACTAGTCAGAGAGAGACGAAGGGGAGAGAGAGAAAGAGAGAGAGTGAGTGAGCCAAGGGCACATCTATAGGCAGCCCTAGTGAGTGGATGTTGAAAGAGAACATTGAGTGTTGGGGCGTGAGGGTTAAGGGTAGCCATGGTACATGGAAATTAGTGGTACTGGTGTGTCCCTTCAAAAAAGTAGACAGTGCATTGCTGTCTTCTCATAACTATTACATTTCAAAACCTGAGTTTGATATCCAGCTCCTTCCTCAGCTAGGTGAACTTGAGTAAGTCTCAATCTTTTGAGCATAAATATCATCTGCTTAAATGGGGATAAGCTTTGTTTACCTCTTATATTATGATGCATGGCTTTCAAAGTATATTTTTACATACACTCTTCCATTTCATATTCATTTTATCCACATTTTAAACATCCAGGAAATTATTTTGGAGAGGTTCCTTAACCTTTCTAATATCTTGGGGGTAAACAGAAAATGGAAATGAATTATTTTGATGGTTTTAAGAAGGGAAATTATTTATCTTCCCTGAAAAAAATGCACAATTTTTTTGAGAGAGAGAGAGGAGTGAGAAGCATTTGGATATTATAGCAAGGAAAGATATCCTGACTCAACAATCATACTCAAAGGGAGATGAGTTGATTTACTCTCTGAAGAGTACATCTCTTCATTAACTCTCCAGTAATTCCTAATGTATTTACCTCTGCCATCCTCACAGTCCAGAAGTCTAGCACCTAGAAAAAAAGGACAGCTCATGATTTTGCTTCTTAATTATGAATGAGGCTTTATTTAAGACTCTGAGAACTAATGTAAACATGAGTTCCTAATGGTGAATAATGATGTGAATTAATTCACATTGCAGAAACTAGGACTTGTGCATAAGTTGCAGGAGCTGATGATGATAAGTGACTGTGCCAATCACCAGTTTTATAATAATAGGCTAAGTGGTAATCAGGAGTTTCAAAGTTTCTTTTACCTCTTGATATTTCAGCAGCTAGTCCCCTGTTTTTTTTTTTTTTTTTTTTTTTTTTTTTTTTTTTTTTTTTGCCTTGTACCAATCCTGTGCTATCTTTCTTAGCAAGTTTGGCATCTCTCCAGACCTTTCCATGGAAACTCTTCTTCACCTCTTCACATCCTGAAGTTGGTACTCTTCTCAGTATAATTAGCTTAACTGTGTTCACTCTCTTTATTCTAGGATGCATTAGATTTTTCTCTAATGTCCAGCCACCTTACTTAGACCCTCTGCAATAATGGATTTTGTTTTTTTACTGAACCATCTGTTCCATCGCCTGAGGAGTTTCCTATTTCTATGGGTTAGTATCTCTGTTGCTGCTCTCAGACCGCAGGAAGCAGCTGAAGAGAGCCTCAAAATGATGCAGGCCTACCCAGTATTAATTAATTCTTTCCAACTCTGGTCTGGCATTCAGTGCTGCTGAGAGATCTCTGGTACATTTCTCCCAGTCACTTAGAAATTCAGCTCATGCAATGGTGCACTAGGTAAGGTTCTGGAAACACAACTGTAAACAAGACAGACTTCATTCCCGCCTTGTGAAAATTCTATAAATACTTACTGTATTTCTTTTTCTTATGAGTATAAGTACTTACTTTGTTCTGAACAGTAACTGGAGACATACGTTTCTGTGGAAGAATTAGGCAAAATATTTGTATTAGTTAGTTGTGAGAAGTGTTCTTCCTCTGATCCAACTCTCTTCACTCTAAGCTGTGCTTCTTGTCTCCCAAGGTGGTCCTCCTGACACAACGCAGTACTGTTCTCACCTGTTTTCCACAGCTCCCATCAGCCCTGTTTTATCTATCTTTTCACACCACGTATGCTTTGCGGGCTCACAGGCATCGAGGGTGGGAAACAGGGAAGGAATATAACTGATTAGAAAGTTGTGGGAGAGAAACAGAAAAATCCGGGAAAGAGTGATCTTATGGCATAGAAATAGGTCTTAGCTTTTATGAGCTCCATCTCTGTTTCGTTGAAAAGTACTACTCTGTATTTGTCTCTTCTTATCATCTCCCCAAATTAAGTCACTAAAAGTGTCCAATTCTTTTTATATAACACTAGACATTGGTGTTTACTAACATACTGTCTTCACACTTCTATTTTTTTTTTTAACTTGGGTAATTCCCCTTAGAGCCCAGGCAATTGCTCTACTTCTTTTAAAGTATTCTCATTACTTTTGCTAAACTCTATCTGTAATTTTTTTCTTTTTGAGGCAGAATCTCACCCTGTCACCCATGCTGGAGTGCAATGGTGTGATCTTGGCTCACAGCAACCTTCGCCTCCCGGGATCAAATGATTCTCCTGCCTCAGCCTCCTGAGTAGCTGGGATTACAGGTGCCCACCACCATGCCGATCTAATTTTTGTATTTTTTTCTTTTTGCTTTAATTTTTGTATTTTTTAAAATAAAGACAGGGTTTCACCATGTTGGCCAGGCTGGTCTTGACCTCCTGACCTCATGATCTGCCTGCCTCAGCCTCCCAAAGTGCTGAGATTACAAGTGTGAGCCACTGCACCCAGCCTATCTGTGACTTTTTGTTTTACATTGTTGATAATGTAAACTTTGGGAGTTAAAAGTGCAGGGAGAATCACTAATAGTTCACAGATTTTTTGACTCAAGTATTAAAACAGATTCCCAGAATATCGGCAAAGTCTCTAGCTGTCTGATAAGTAGAGATGAACTCAGACTGAAAATCTTGGCATCCCTCCCTCCACAGTTTTCACAAGAAATCTTCATTTTGACTCATTACTACTCACCACTTTGCTTACGTCGTATCCATCTTGTTAACAAAACAGCCAGGATGGCAAGTGCCAGTAGAGTCAGGATGATAGCCAAAGTTATTTCTGAAAACAAAAACTCACCTGTAGATATGCTTGTTTAGACCAGGTAATTACCAGAAACAACTTCTGATCACCTCTTACTGCCCACCAGATAGACTTCCCCCGCTTTCTGCTACTGCAACTCTTTTATTCTTTTATTTGCCTTATATTACTGTCCTCACATTCCTGCCCATGCCCATTTTTAGCTGTTACACGGGTTCTTTGGTCATACACTAAGAACCTCAGGTGCTGTGTACCCTTGGCTTAGAGCTGGCAATCCGACAGATTTCCTCATCAGCTGAACCCTTTACTCCCCAGGCAGGAAGAATGTTAAAGGGAATCAGTGGTCTACAAAGCTACCCACTGGGGTATCAGGGGAGTATATTAGAACTTCTAGATTTTGTGTAATTTTAACTCATACCTTTAAAGTTGCAAGGTTTTCTGCATATATATATATACACACACACACACATATCTGTATAGCTATAAATTTATAACATTTATAAACATACTTGTATAGGGAATGTATACTCAAAACATTTTCATGAGTGAATTACTGAAAACCTTTCAGCACCCTGACCGAAGGATGCTGTCTGAAGGTGGTTTTATTAATGAAAGCCACAGCAAAGGACAGAAATTTCTTATCACAGAAAAAACTTTCAGTCATCCCTCCCATGCCCCTCATAAGATAGATATTTGTGAGGTTTGTTATTGTGGTTGGTCGGATAAAACATACTGGGATTGCTTAACACAAGCAATGTGTTTGTTTATGTGTCATTGATTTGCATTCAATTGATGTAAGATAGTCTTTCAGTTATAGGAGAGAAAAATCTTAGACAATATCATCATATGGTTATAAAGGGCAGTGGATACCAAGGAGCTGGGGAAGGAAAAAATGAAGAGAGAGAGAGAGAGACAGAGAGAGAGAGAAAGGAAAGAAGAAAAAAAACCAACCAATCTGCTGGTGAAAGTAAAATCTCTGAAGAATATTGAGCTCTGAAAGAGTAAGGAAATAGGTTACACCCAGATTAAGACTACTTCAAACAAACAGTAGGTGAATCCACTGCAAGATGCAATAGCACACCTCCGATCAGGACAGATTAGGCACTTGTCTACTGAGTCTTCTGGGTGTTTGGGCCTGTGAGAAAATTCTCCTGCCAAATCAGCTTTTGGAGATTTAACCAGATGGTGTACTCAGTAGTACTGTATACTTAGTAGTATACAGCAGTACTCCCTTTCTTCCTTTGGTGTCTGAAATGCCATCTATAGGACAGTTAGAAGATGGTCCATCTCATTTACAGCGAAAATTAGAGGAAATCATTATTTCTGAGTTGAGGCAGATTATAGAGTGATCATACTATGGAAAGGGAGATAAAGGATGAAGAAATTTTCCTAGTGCTATGGAGGATGGTTATTTTCTCTGTTCAATTTAAACTTTAGAAACCAAAGGAGAAACCACCACCATCAGCCTAGAGCTTAGTTAACTGTGGGTTGTTTGCCCCAGACTTCCAGAGGAATCAATGAGAGTGAAAGAAAAAATACTGAATTTGAAAGGAAGCAGGCAAGGAAGATAAAGCAGTTGTGTTAAAGTCCCTTAGAGGAGACTCCTGAGCCATTAGAGTCAAGGAGTCTTCAAAGACGGAGTTAGTCCATACCCAAGACTATCATTTTCCAGGTATTGTCTTTAGCTGGTCTCGCATCGTCTGGATTTCTTTGTCAGAGAGAGATCAAGATAAAAGGAACAACTCAAGTTCACTGTTTCTGAGCAGTATGAACTTGGGTGTCAGGGAGGCCCTTGTAGGCGGAGATGCAGAGGATCACTGAGAAATTGTGTGGAGCAGATTGAGCAGACCTAAGCATTTATGGAAATGTGGCCTGGGAAGGTTCTGGAATCTGTGTCATAACAGAGGCTTAGAACATCAGAGAGGGAGGAGAGAAGGCAGAGGAGGATCAAGAGGCTAGGAAGATTTAAGGATAAAAGGGAACTCACTCTATCTGGGCTTTAGAATTATTTCTAGTTTTTCAGAGATTTTAAGGCCAGAGATTGTATACCATTAATCTTTGCAACTCTTGAGGCAGAGAACCTTCCACAGAATAGGTACTTTATAAATGTTTGATAATTAAAAATGAGAAAAATGTCTATATTTAAAAAGAGGTAGACTGGATAAATAAAAAGTGGTACATATACACCACGGAATACTACACAGTCTTAAAAAAGAATGAGATCATGTCCTTTGCAGCAATATGGATAGAGCTGGAGACCACTATCCTAAGCAAACTAAAGCAGGAACAGAAAACCAAATACCATGTGTTCTTACTTATAAATGGAAGCTAAACAAGAACACATGGACACTAAGAGGGGAACAGCAGACACTGGGGCCTACTTGAGGATGGAGGCTAGGAGGAGGGAGAAAAAATATCTCTTGGGTGCTATGCTTATTACCCAGGTGACACTAAAGAACCTGTTCTTTAACCCCTGGCAACATGCAATTTACTTATATAGCAAACAATTACATGTACCCTTAAACCTAAAAGTTAAAAAAAGAAGGGCCTTGAAACAAATGAAGGTGGACAAAGGAAGCCAACAATTGGGGTTAGATAGCAAGAAGAAACCCAGCCCGGAGGTCTGTGGTGCCAGGAAGAGTGAGCCAGTAAATGGGATCTCATAAGCCACTGTGGAGAACAAGGAGAGTAACAAACACTTTTACTGACTGTCTATTGACTAAGAGGCTCTAGAGTGGGTACCTTATAAGCATAAACTTTAATCCTCAATAAACTTTAAAAAATTCTTAAAGATGGAGAGAGACACTAGGAGTTACCCAGCCAACAAATGGCAGAGTTTCTGACTCCAAAGCCTATACCACATTCACAAAGCCACATTTTGTTTCTGCCTTTTATGCATCGTGTGGTGGTGATTTCTGGGGTAAGAAGTCAGTCGCTTGAAGAGGAAAGTGATGCCTTCTAGTTTTAGGAGGCTCTTCTGCCAAAAATAATTCTCAAAAGTTTTGAGATTATTTTTCTGTAAGTGTTTTAGGCATACTTATAGGACACCATCAAACATACAAATATATTAATTATGGAAGTACCAGAATGAGAGAAAGGGGAAGGAGCAGAAAGCTTAATTGATGGAATATTATCTGAAAATTTTCCAAATCCTGAGAGGGCCATGAACATCTAGACTGAAGAAGATCAAAGCATCTCAAGCAAGTTCAATTTAAAAAAGACACACTCCAAGTACATTATAATCAAATTGTCAAAGGTCAAAGACAAAGAGAGGATTCTGAAGGAAACATCACATATAAGAGATCTCTCATAAGCCCGTTAGCAGACTTCTCAATGGAAAACTTGCAAGTCAGGAGGGAGTAGGGTTACATATTTAAAGTGCTAAAAGAAAAAGAAATACCAACCATGAATGCTATACTTGGCAAAGCTATCTATGAGAAATGAAGGAGAGATAAATAGATAAAGACGTTTGAAGACAAAAGTTGAGGGAGTTCATCACCATGAGATTAGCTTTCAAGAAATGTTAAAGGGAGTCCTTGTAGTTGAAACAAAAGGACAATAAGTAACAATATAAAAATAGAAAAAGTATATAACCCAAAGGTGAATGTATATATGTATATATACACATATATGTACATTTATATATTATATACATTTATATATGTACATATACATATACAGAATACTCTAATATTGTAAGCGTGGTGTATAATCACTCTTATGAAAGTTAAAAAGCAAATGTATTTATGGCTATAGTAATTGGTTCACATCATATAAATAAAGATATCTATCATAAACTGTATATACGTGTGTGAAAAATAAAAGTGTAGGGCCTTTGTATTTTATTGTAGTTAAGGTGTTATCAGCTTAAATTAGGATATTATAACTATAAAATATTTTTTGTAAGTCTCATGGTAACCACAAAGAAAAAATCTCCAGCAGATACACAAAGGATAAAGAAAGAAGTGAAAGCAAACCACTAAAACATACTATTAATTACAAAGGAAGACAGCCAGATTATAAGAAAGGAAGAAAAGAACTACAAAACAGTAAACAATTTAATATTTACAAACAAGTAAATAATATGTCAATAGTAAGTTCTTATCTATAAATAATTACTTTAAATGTAAATAGATTTAATTCTTCAATTAAAAGACACAGAGTGGCTGAATAATTTTGAAAGGAAGAAAAAACAAAATCCAACAATATGCTGTCTATAATAGACACGAGCCTTCAGGACACACATAGACTGAGAGTGAGGAATGGAAAAGATATTTCATGAAAAGTATAACTAAAACAGAGCAAATGTGGCTCTATTTATATCAGGAAAAATAGATTTCTAAAACTTTAAAAATACAATGAGAGTTATCACATAAGGAAAAGGGGTGAACTAATGAAGAGCAAATAGCAATTGTAAATATGTATGTACCCAACATCAGAATTCCTAAATATATGAAGCAAATATTAATAAATCTAAAAAGTGAGATTGACTGTGATATAATAATATTAGTGGACCTCAACTCTCCATTTTTAATGTAGAGATCATCCAGACATTAGACCAAGTGAACCTAAGACATATACAGAACATTTCATCCAATAGCTGCATTGTTTTCAAAGCACATGAAACATTCTCGATGATAAATAATGTTAGGCCACAAAACAAGTCTTTAACAACTTTAAGAAGATTGAAATCAAACCCAATGTTTTTCTGAACATAATGGAATGAAACTGAAAATCAATAACAGAAGAAATTTTGGAAAAATTATAAATCTGTGATATTTGGAAAATAAAATGAATATATCACTTACAATAGAATCAAATAATATAAAATTCTTAAGAATATAGTTAAAACAGTAAATGCGAGATAGCTACACAGAAAACTATAAACCCCTTCAGATAAAAATTTAGAAATACCTACCTAAAGGAAGAGACCTAAATAAACTGTTGTATCTAGGCTATTTGAAAAACTTCTTCAACTCCATAAAAATATAATAATATGAATAATGCAATAACATAGAAAAAAGATTTCAATGAATATTTCACAAATAAAGATAGACGATTAATGAATTCAACATAATTATCAGGAAAATGCAAACCAAAATGAGTTATCACTTTACATTCACTAACCTGGATATAATTTAAAAGGCTGAAAATATCAATTATTGGTTATGGGGAATTACTGAAACTCTCATACATTGCTTATTTGAATGTAAAATAGTATAGCAACTTTGGAAAACTGATTTGTAGTATTTTATAAAATTAAACACATACCTATTCTGCAATCCAGATATTGTATATGGAATGAAAAGCAAAGTATAAGAGAAATGAAATAGGTGTCCACAATAGACTTGAAAGAGAATGTTCATAGCAATTTTATTAATAATAGCCAAAACCTAGAAACATCCAGGTATCCATCAGCAGAAAAAGGAGTGAAAAAAACTGAAGCATATTTATACAATGGAATTCAACTTAAAATATAAAAAGAACATACACAGTAATATACACGATCTCAACATTATATTGAATGAAAAATTAGATATAATAGAGTAAATAGTGTATTATTATTACTATATGAACTTAATGAAAAGGCGAAACTAAACTTTGATGATAGGAATCAGACTATTGTCTGCCTGTGAAAAATTAATGTTCTTTGTTTTGATTGAGGTATGAATTACTTGGGTATGTACAATTGTTAATACTTATAATCTGTGCTTGTAAAAATACATGTCTGTAAATTACACTGCAATCATTTAAAGAAGAGAGATTCCAAAATTTTGAGTTTGAGAGTAGAAATTCAAGCCTCATCTTCTTGATCCTATTACGACTACTGGGTTGAAAGGGAGACAGACCCTGACTTACTTTATAACACTAATGATATGGGTTCGCAGTGAGAGAAAAAAATTATTTTTCATCATCCCAGTGAAATTTGTGTCTTCTCACATCCACAATTCTTTTCAATCTCATGTCTTTGGAAAATCCTGCTTCATAAATATGGAAGAGAAAGCTACTCCCTCCCCTCTAGGAATCAGAGGTTGTCCTAACATCCTCTTTCACATCATTCTCTTCTATAAATCCAGTGTCTTCAAAATTAGTTAGGCCTATAATCAATCAAGACTGTAATAATAAATAGTAAGTGGAACGGCCAACCTTGTCTTTCCTAATCTTTTGAATTAGCAAAATATCATTTATCCAAAGGGAAGAGAAGAAATCCTGTGTCAGGAGGACATAATTGCTAATAATGCCAATCCATCTATCTTTCTTTTTTTGAGAGAGAGAGAGAGAGAGAGAGAGTGAGTCTCAGTCTGTCACCTAGGCTGGAGTGCAGTGGTACAGATATGGCTAACTGCAGCCTCTATCTCCCAATCTCCCAGGCTCAAGCAATTCTTGTCTTCCTGCCTCAGCCTTCTGAGTAGCTGGGACTACAGGCAAGTGTCACTAAACTCAGCTAATTTTTTGATGTGTAAAGAAATGGAGTCTCACTATGTTGCCCAGGCTGGTCTCAAATTCCTGTCCTTGAGCTACCATCCCATCTGGGGTAAGTGCTGGGATGTTGGGATTACAGGCTTGAGCCACCACACCAGTCTACCTCTATGTAGAAACAGAATAAAGGTGAGGGGGTAGGTAGGCAGGATTAGACAAACAAAAAACACTGTCCCCTGTAAATGATCAATTCAACCAAACTAAAAGACTGTGTATCAAAATTCCCTGCACCATTCTCCCTACTGATAATCGCACTCCTGCATAGTCCCCTCACACTGTAGCGGGAGTGGTCCGTACGACCAGCTGACAACAGCAGAAATGATGGTATGTTACTTCCTATATTCTTCTCCCCCACTTTCCTCCCTTCTTTCTCTCTCATCACCTGTTCTGGG